TGACTCTTTTTTTTTTTTTTAAAGATTTTATTTATTTATTTGACAGAGAGAGACACAGTGAGAGAGGGAACACAAGCAAGGGGGAGTTTGAGAGGGAGAAGAAGACTTCCTGCAGGGCAGGGAGCCTGATGCGGGGCTCAATCCCTAGACCCTGGGATCATGACCTGAGCCGAAGGCAGACGCTTAATGACTGAGCCACCCAGGCGCCCCAAGCATCTGACTCTTGATCTCAGCTCAGGTCTTGTTCTCAGGGTCATGAGTTCAAGTCCTGAGCTGGGCTCCATGCCCAGTGTGGAGCCTACTTAAAAAAAAAAAAGATGCCAAAGTCCTAAGTGAATGAGAGGACATAGGTGACCAGGTGGGACCCATTTGTACAGTGCCATATTCCTAGTGCCTCATATTTTGGTGTGTGTTTGTGTGTGTATGGGTCTATAATAAACATTTTAAAATGTTGAATATCCTTCTGTTATTTATGCATTCATTTAATATCTGTCCAGCAAACAATCATTAAACACTTATATGTGCTGACTGCTGTGGTTGAATAAGGAAAGCATTTCTAGGGCACCTGGCTCAGTCAGTAGAGCATGCACTTCTTGATCTCAGGGTTGTGAGTTCAAGCCCCACATTGGGTGTAGAGATTACTTTAAAAAAAATTAGAAAAAAAAGAAGACATTTCCAACAACATAATCTACTGCAAAACACTTGGAAATGTTCACTAAAATATAATAAGCATTCTTTTAAATGTATATGCTGAGCTTGAAAGAAAGCAAGGGATATCCCCAGAGACACTAAATGAAATAGAAACTAAAAGCAAGAGGGTAAGAAAGTATGATATCGGGGACATTCTTAGGACTTTTAAAGACCCATAACTTCAGTGATAGACTAGAAAGACTAGAAAAAAATTGCTTTTCAAAAAAGAGAAATAAAAGATTTCATAATGATAATTATAATGCAAATAAAATCTCTCAGAATTCATAAGCATAGACTTACCTTCAAATGGGTGTGGGTTTTAACTATATACTACTTGAGTGGTTTGGAATTGAGTTGAAGTGGTAGTAGGTTGGCAGCATTGGGGCACCTAGCAAGAGCAAATGCAAATCATCTCTGGAGGAGTACAGTCTCAACTCAGTCTCTCCAGGTTCTCACAGATTGGATTACCCAAACATGAGATCACAATCTAAAATCACAAACCATATAAGTATGCTAAAAATGTTCACAGAGGTAAAAGATGCAATTGAAAACCTGAACAAGAGATGAGAAATGGTCAGAAAGGATCAGGAAAAAAAAAAAAAAGGAAAAAGAAAAGAATCTGATAGGTTTGAAAATGAACAAAGTATAACTTTATTTTTTAAAAGATTTATGTATTTATTTGAGAGAGAGGGAGAGACAGAGAGGGAGAGAGAGAGAGAGCAAGTAGGGAGAGGAGTAGAGGGAGAGAGAGAATCTCAAGCAGACTCCCCACTAAGTGTGGATCCCTGCACAGGGCTGGATCCCAGGACCCTAAGATCATGACCTGAGCCGAAATCAAGAGTTGGACATTTCACTGATTGAGCCACCCAGGTGCCCCCAAAATATAACTTTAGAAAACAAAAATATAATTGAAATTTCAGTAGGCAGATTAAATAGCAAACTAGACACAGCTGAGAATTATTGAACTAGAGGATGGGCCTACAAGGGCATCTGGGTGGCTCAGTCAGGTAAGTGTCTGCCTTCTGCTCAAGTCATGATCTCAGGGTCCTGGGATCAAGCCCTGCATTGGGCTCCCTGCTCAGTGGGGAGCCTGCCTCTCCCTCCCCCTCCTGTTCTCGGGCTCTCTCTCTCTCAAAGAAATAAAACCTTAAAAAAAAAGAAAAAAAAATGGGCCTACAGAAATTACCCAGAATGCAAAATAGAGTGGGAGATGAGAATATTTTAGAATTAGAGGGTCTAACATATTTAAAAATTTTTAAATCTTTAAAAAAATTTCACATCTTACAATTTCATTAAATATATTCACAATGTTGTGGAACCATTATCATTATCCATTTCCAGAACTTTTTCATCATACAAAACGGAAACTCTGTACCCATTAAATAATAGCTACCTATTCTCTCCTCTCCCAGCCCCTCTATTCTGCTTTCTGTTCCTGTGAATTTGCTTATTCGAAATACCTCATACAAGTAGATCTTATGTTTGTCCTTTTGTGAATGGCTTATTTCACTTCACATAATATTTTCAAGGTTCATCCATGAGATCTAACATATTTTTATAGAGGATACTGAGGAGATATAAAATTTAAAAAGATAATAGCAGAGAAGTTCCAGATTTGATGAAAGACATAAGCCCTAAGACTCTGGAATCTTAACAAATCCCAAACAGGACAACTAAAACTAAAACAAGACCTACACATAAATTGAAATTGAATCATATTAAAGACAACAGGCTCTTAAAAGCATCTAGAAAGAACAAATTACCTACAGAAAGAATAACAACTTAAAACAGGATTTATTTCAATGTCAGCAGTAGAACCCAGATGACAATAGAATAGTAAGTTAAAAATGTGGAGTGTAAATAACTTGAATCTCGAGTTGTATACACAGGGTGACAGATTGCTACCTGCGTATTCTAATATCCATCATGCTTTCTTCCTTATTAGAAGAGCCCTGATTTTGTTGGGAGGTATTAATATGTTCACCTAAGAAAGAACTTCATTTCCTAAGCTCACTTGCAGCCAGACCCATTCTGGCCAATGAGATAAAGCAGAGTTATTGAGTAAGCTTTCAAAAAAGTTCCTTAAGGAGGTCAGACATCTGTTCATGATGAAAAACTCCCTGAAGATGATAACTAGAAGAGGACCTTCTAAATCTAGTAAAGCCCATCTACAAAAAACCTTCAGATAATATCATACTTAACGGTGAAATATCAAACATTTTCCTCCCATGACTGAGAGCAAAGCCAGGCTGCTTGCTCTTACCACTTCTATATGACACTGTATTGGTGGTCCTAGCCATTGCAATAAGGCAAGAAAAAGAAATAAAAGGCAGAAAATTCAAAAGGAGAAAGTATTTTGTTATTTATTGATGACCTGATTATGTAGAAAATCCTAAGGAACCTATAAAAATGCTACTAGAACTAAATGAGTTTAACAAGTTTACAGGCTACCAGGTTTATATACAAAAATCAGTTGTATTTGTATATACTAGCAACAAATAATTATAAAATGAACTTAGAAACAAAACAAATGAACAAAGAAAAAAAGAGACCAACAAAAAAATAGTACTAACTATAGAGAACAAACTGATGGTTACCAGAAGGGAGGGGTGGGCGTAGGGGGATGGGTGAAACAGGTGAAGGGGACTAAGAGTACACTTATCACAATGAGCACTGAGTAATGTATAGAATTGTTGAATCACTATATTGTACACATGAAATTAATATAACACTATATGTGAAAAATAATAAAAAAACTCTAAAAATAAAAAATGAAATTAAATTTTCATTTGCAATAATGTGAAATAACAAAATTCTTAGGAATAAATTTAACAAAAATGTGTAAGAATTCTACACTGAAAACTACTAAGCCTTGCTGAGATAAATTAAGGAAGACCAAAATAAATGAGGGGATTTACCATGATCACACATTGGATGATCCAATATTAAGAATCCATTCCTTCTAGATATATTAATAGATGTAATTCAATACCAATAAAATTCCCATCAGGTTAAAAAAAAATTTTGTAGAAATTGACAAGCTTATTCTAAAATTTATATGGACATGAAAATGACCTAGAATAGCCCACAAAATTACAAAAGAACAAAGTTGTAGGGCTTATACTACTTGATTTCAAGACTTTATAGAAATTAAGAAATCTGGTATTAGTGAAAGTATAAATGTAGATTGAAGGAAAAGAATAGAAAATCAGGAATAGACTTGCATATATGTGATCAACTGGTTTTCAACAAAGGTGGAAAGGCAATTCAGTGGAAAAGTAAAGTCTTTTAAAAAATGGTGAAAATGGGAGGACTCTAAAGCAGTAAGATCCACAGAGACAGGACGGAATAGTGGGTCCAGGATCTGGGCTGAGAAGGACGGAGAGTTACTGCGTAATGGGCACAGTTTCTGTGTGGGATAATGAAAAAGTTCTGGAGACAAATGGACGGTAGAGATGGTTGCACAATAATGAAAATGTACTTAATGCCATTTAACTATACACTTAAAATGGTTAAAATGGTATATTTTATGTTATATATATTTTACCATAATAAAAAATACTTTGAAATAATTTGAAAAGTAGCCCCAAACAAAGGGACATCCCAAAATGGAAAACACAAATATCAACCTTTTTTGACACCACAAATAAAAACTAACTTGAAATTAATCATAGACCTAAATGTTACAACTAAAACTTCTAGATGAAAACGCAGAGGAAAATTTTTGTGATTTTGTGGTAGGCAGAGATTTCTTAGGACATAACAAATATGCCAAAAAAAGAAAAAATGTGAATTGATTCTATAATAATTAAAGCCTTTTATTCTTTGAAAGAGAATGCCTTTGAAAAGGCAAGCAACAAAATTAGAGAACTTTAGACAAAAAACTTGTGTCCAGAGTATATAGAGATACTAAATTTCAGTAAGTCAACTACTTAGTTTTTAAAAAATGGGCAATAGACTTCAACAGACATGTCACAAAAGAAGGCATGTGAATGGTCTATAAGCATGCCAAAGGAGGCTCAATATCATCAGGGAAATGCAGATTTAAACAGACAAGAAGATACTGCTACACATCCATTAAAATGGCCAGAATTAAAAAAAAAAAAAAGTCAATGCCAAGTGTTGGCAAGGATGTGGAGGAAATGGAAAAAGTTGGAATTTAAAATGATAGTACCGTTTTGTAAAACTCCTTGCTAATTTCTTAAAAAGTTAGCATATATCTACCATAAGACAGCCATTCTATCTCTAAGTATTTACCCAAGAGAAACAAAAGCAAAAGTCCACACAAAAACTTACATACAAATGTTCGTAGCAGTTTTATTCATAATTGTCCCAAATTGGAAACAACCCAAATATGTATTTTAACAGATGAACTGATGGGCAAAATGTGGTATTTTCTTTTTTCTTTACTAACTTTATTTATTTTGAGAGAGAGATAGAGAGAGCACACATGCGGGAGAGGGGCAGAGGGCGAGGGAGACAGAATCCAAAGCAGGCTCCACCCTCAGCCTGATGTGGGGCTCAATCTCATGACCTTGAAATCATGACCTGAGCTGAGATCAAGAGTTGGGTGTTCAACCGACTGAGCCACCCAGGTGCCCCCAAATGTGGTATTTTCATAAAACGGAATCTTACACAGAACAAAAAGAATGAAGGGTGAAGTTCATCCTTAGAAGGGCTTCCCTTCAGGATGGAGGGCAGGGATGAGTAGGTGGAAGGGTACTCTGGCAGAAAGTAGGCCAGGGCTGCCCTGTCACTGAGAAAGTTGAGAAGGGGGGCGGCTAGGAATCACTGTTTTTTGTTTTTCTAAAGCTAAGCCCTCTCTGCAGTGACAGTCCACTTCTCTGGCCCAGAGGTCTCTCCTGCCCCCTCCACTATACATAGGGAGCAGTTCAGTGCCCTACCGCTAGACTCAGTGAACCCCACCCCACTCCAGCAGGGTCCCACTGTGCTGAGACAGTTTTCTTCCCCAGCAGCCTTCTTGTCCTTGCGTCTATGTAGTCAATGATTCAGCTTTTGTTGGCTTTTCCATCTTCTGATCCGTCTGCATTATGTCTTCTAGAGATCCCTGTAAACTGCTATTCCACTCGCAATCTATGTGCCTGTCTTCCAATACAGGGATGGATTTATTATTTAAAAATATACATCATTCTTTTTAACACTACAGTATTGTACACTTAAAAATGGTTAAGATGGTAACTTTGATGTTATGTATTATTTATCATAATAATAAAAAACCCACATAGTTCTTGAATTGTCAGTGACCTTTGCAGGGGAGAGGTAAACATGTGGGTAAAACTCACAGTCTTGAAAGAAAAGGTAATTGGAATCCTAAATGTGAAATTATTTAGGCAGATATTTCTGACTTTTAATTTCATTGTTAAAATAGTATTTAAAATCTAATGCTTTTTCTAAGAATATACAACAAAGATCAGTCACCCCTTCACATCACTCCAAGTTTTGCCACTATGTATGAAGAATGCTCATTAGAACGCACTCGGGTTGAGATGACAGAAACCAAATCTGAATTAGCTTTATGATGTTAATAAAAATTACAGTGTTTATTGTGTACCAGGCCTATGGTAAGCATTTCATATCCACTTATCTCATCTAGCCTGCACAATGGCCCAGAAGGCCAGGAGCCAACCTGTGAGCTCTGAAGGCAAGTGCTTGCCTTATGCCCAGTGACTGAAACAGGACCTGGCATGTGGCCAGAATAAATGGGGGAATGATACAATACCTACCATCATCTCCAACTTATCAGAGTGCCGAATGGTGCTCTGGAGACACAGGAAAGACCTAGGGAAGCTGGGTAGATTTTCCAGGCCACGTGGGTATTTGGAGGCTGAGCTGGGATTTTAATCCAGGCACCTGCTCCAAGGACAGCCCTTCAACCTGTCCATTACGTGGACTATCAACCTAGAAGGGAAATTTATTGGCTCTTTTTTTTTTTTTTTTTTTTTTTAAAGATTTTATTTATTTATTTGAGAGGGAGAGAATGAGAGAGAGCATGAGAGGGAAGAGGGCAGAGGGAGAAGCAGACCCCCTGCCGAGCAGGGAGCCCGATGTGGGACTCGATCCCGGGACTCCAGGATCATGACCTGAGCCGAAGGCAGTCGCTTAACCAACTGAGCCACCCAGGCGCCCCTTATTGGCTCTTGAAACCAAATTCAAGAAAAACTGATGTGCTTTCAGATTTCAGGGAGTGTTTAGGGACTTACCCCTTTAGAACCTTCCTTGTCCCCCATATCTGTACTTACCTCAGTGTTGCTCTCTTCTCAAGGCTGGAATCTTGGTCACCAGTAGCTACTGAGTTCACATCTCTTATGTAACCCAAGAGTGGAGAAACAGTTACAAGAGGTAAAATCCCAGGGTAAGGGGCACCTGGGTGGCTCAGTCAGTGAAGTGTCTGCGTTTGGCTCAGGTCATGGTCCTGGGGTCCTGAGATCAAGCCCCATGTCTGGCTCCCTTCTCCCTCTCCCTGCTTGTGTCCTCTCTCTCAAATAAATAAATAAAATCTTCAACAACAACAACAAAAATCCCGGAGCAGGATTGTCACTTGCCCTGCTTGGGTCACATGCCCACTGCCATGGTTCAAGTCCCGGATTCTCTACTGTCTAGCCATGCATGACTTTGGACACATTAAGTTACTTACTCTTGATGGCTTTTGTTTCCTCATCTGTGTCATGAGAACAGTAACAGTAGTTTGCCCAGTGAACAACATGCAGTGCTCAAACACCTTAGTAAGTAATTTATTTTCATAATTCTTATTGCATATTTCTTTTTTATTTAAGCAATTTTCATAAAGCTTTGTGGTGGTCTCTGTAGAAAAGTCTCCCTGTGAGGTTGTAATCCTTGTCTGCCCCCATCAGTTTTGGAGTTTGAGTTATATTATTCTTTATAGTCTCCAGGACCACCAAACCAGGAAATTAACATAAAAGTAGTCCTGGGATAGTGGTACTCCTATGAAGGGACACATTTGGCTGCTTAGGACGCCCACATAAATATAGGCCCAACTGAGTTCATAACTTCAAATTACAGAATTCTCACAGAAATAACCTGCCACGAGTGAAAGTTGGTAGGCACCACAGAGAGCAAGATTAGACCACCAAAAAAGTCATATAATAGAATTATTGACTAGAAATTTAAAAATAAATATTTTTTAAATGATTAAAGACAAGTTTTAAAATCGCATTAAGTAAAAAAAAGATAAAAGCCAATATAAAGAAAGAGTGAGCAGATTTGATAATGTACCAAATTGAGCTTCTAGAAATAAAACCTATGGTTGTTGAAATTGAAAACTCCATAAAAAACAATATGGGGAGAATTAACAGCAGATTAAACACAGACAAAGAGAATATTAGTGAGGTGGAAGTCAGAATTGGGAAATTACCCAGAATAGAGCACACACAGAGAAAAAAAATACTGGGAGGAAAATAATTGTCAATTTAGAAGTCTACATTGCTAAATTATCACTCAGGAAAGAGAGCAAAGTAAGACATTTCAGAGACTGAAAGAATTTTTCACTACCTAACGTTCATTAAAAATATCTCAAGTATGTGCTTTCGGGAAGAAAAGACTTCAACCTCGAAGGAAAAGTGAGTGAAGAAACAGGCTACCATGTGGCCAAATCTAAACCAGCAACCACTGCTCAACAGCGTAACAATGAGAATGATCACCTGGGAGGAAAAATGACAGGGACAAGAGAATGAGAGGAGTGATTACAGTGAAAGTATCTAAGTTCTTATTATTACATAGAAGGGAGGTAGAGATAGTAATTGACTTTAGAATTTGTTAATTATGCAGGTTGAAAATTTAAGTGTATTTATGAAAGTGACAGAGAATGCATAACTTCCAAGCCAGTGGGAGTTGAGGGAAAGGGGAATAAAGAGCACTTGATCCATCCAATGAGGACAGGAAGGGAGGAAAAAGAAGCACAGAGAAAAAAGACAACACAAAATAAGATAGTAAAAATCTATCAAAACCTATCATCAATCACAATAAACATACCATTAAAGGCTGAAAACTGTAAGATTGATTTAAAAAAAAAATCTAGTTACACAGACTATTTATCAGAAGCATACCTAAGATATAAGGAAAAGGATGGAAAAAGATAAATGAGGTCAATACTCACAAAAAAGGGCTGTGGTAGATTAATTACTAGAAAAAGCAAAATTAAGGCAGAAAGCATTATTAGGGATAAAGAGTGGTACTGTATAATAACAAAAGGAATAATTATCAGAAAGGTATAATAATCCTAAACCTCTTAGCATTTAAAAACCAAGTCTCAAAAATATAAAATCAAATCTGGCAAATTTCATGGAGAGATTGCTAAAACCAATATCATAGTAGTGGGATTTTAACCGATTTCTTTTGGTAATTTATAATCAAGTAGATGCAAAATTAGTAAACGCATGGAATATTTGAATAATACAGTTAACAAGCTTGATATAAGGGAGATGATATATCTATATCTACATCTCCTTGCATCCAACAATTCCTATTGAACAGATAGGAAACTTTTATAGAAATAGCCAATACAGCCATGTACATGGCTACAAAGAAAGTCTTCACACAATCCCAAAAGATCAGTACTGTGCAGAGCACCTCCTCTGACCATAATGCAATAAAATAAGAAATCAATAACTAAAGGTTAGTCCTCTCTCTCAAAAAAAAACCTAGTATACATTTGAAAATGTAAATAAGCATACTTTCAGCAATTCCCAAGCCAAAAAAATTGATATTAGAAAATCAGAACAATGTGAAATTAAAAATACTACTTATCAAGACTTAAGGGACATTAAAGTGCCACTTAGAAATGTATAACCTTGAAACCTTACTCTCAGAAAAGAGAAAGACTAAAAATTGAATTAAATATCTAACTCAAGAAATTAGAAAAAGAATTATAACACAATAAAAAAGTAGAGATAAATAGAACAGAATAAAACAAAATAGAAAATATAGATGATTAGCAAAATAAAAAGCTGATTCTTTTTTTTTTAATATTTTATTTATTTATTTGACACACAGAGAGAGAGACAGTGAGAGAGGGAACACAAGCAGGGGGAGTGGGAGAGGGAGAAGTAGGCTTCCCGCTGAGCAGGGAGCCCGATGCGGGGCTCCATCCCAGGACCCTGGGATCATGACCTGAGCGGAAGGGCAGATGCTTGACGACTGAGCCACCCAGGTACCCCTAAACAGCTGATTCTTTAGAAATAATTCGTATTCCCAGAAAAGTAAAACTTAACATACCAGACTCAGGATGACATGGAACCTAAAGATATTGATAGACATTAAATAAGTAGAGGGAATAAAAAATTTAGCCAAAAAAATACACCAGACTCAGACAGTTATACAGTCAACTCGACATCCAAGGATTCCTGCCTCACACAAACTGCTCTGGAGTTTGGGAGAGGGTCTGATCCGCAGAGAAAGTTGGGTGTGAAGAGCTTGTAGGTTGAAGCTTTGATTTATCGACTTGGCAAAATGCGGAGCATTTTGTACCAGGCACCACTCCTGGGCCATGGACACATCAGTGAACCACAATAAACAGTAAGTAAGTGAATTAGAGTGTGTTAGAATAGGTGCTGCGGAAGAAAGAGAAATAGATCAGAGTAAGAGGGGTGGAGGAGCATGGGAAGAAAAGTGTAGACAGGAGAGAAGAAGGGCAGTCAGTGGAGGGCTGAGAACAGAATGCCCCTCCAAGTTGTCATGGAAACCAAGGGGGAGTGGGGGAGCTGGGAGAAGCTGCTGAGGGAGGGCAGAGTTGGGATTTAGGTGAGGAAGTGGGCCCCAGGAGTGTGAAAGGAGGGATGGGCAATAAAAGGAGGTGAAAGGAGGCAAAAAACTTTGCCAGGAGAGGAGCCCACCACAAGGGCCAGGAGGGTGTGGACCACAGATGCTGGAAGGGGCTTAAGAATGTGAAGGTGGGGGCGCCTGGGTGGCTCAGTTCGTTAAGCAACTGCCTTCGGCTCCGGTCATGATCCTGGAGTCCTGGAATCGGGTCCCGCGTCGGGCTCCCTGCTCAGCGGGGGGTCTGCTTCTCCCTCTAACCCTCTTCCCTCTAGTGTTCTCTGTCTCTCTTTCTCTCTCTCAAATAAATAAATAAAATCTTTAAAAAAAAAAAAAAGAATGTGAAGATGCAGGGCATTACATCAAGGGCATCAGATGACTGAGGTTTGGGAGGCCAAGGAAGGGGCTTAAGAATGTGAAGGTGCAGGGCATTACATCAAGGGCACCAGATGACTGAGGTTTGGGAGGCCAAGGAGGGAGAGGGTACAGGGTGGGGTGGGGCAAGGGCCTTTGTGTGGCCTGTGGGCCTGTGGGCAGCTGCATGGTTGTGGGCAGGGGGCTATCTGGGGATGTGCCAGGCACTGCTCTAGGTGCTTTGCCCACATGAATTCCCCCAAGGCCCTATGAGGCCTGTTTGCATCTGAATATGTGTGGTGGGAGAATGTGGGAAAGAAGCAGGGAGGGTGAGAAACATCTTTCTGGAATCTTGGCCTGGATGGAAGGAGTGGGAAGCAGAGGGCCATGGGTCTGGTGACTGGACAGAGATAGGAGTGCAGAGGGGGCTGGGCTGGGACAGGGAGGTGGGCAGTGGCAGGCAAAGGGTGGCTCTTCCTGAGAGGTGGAGTTTGCTGGGCAAGGGGCTGCTCAGGAGTTATAGAGGACGTGGTGAGGGGCCTGGTTCTTTTATTCTCAACAAAATAAAGGGCAAAGACACCCACTATCCTTTGGCTTCATCCTCTGTAAACCCACCATGCTGCGGGGATGCAAGGACGTAATGTGGGTAAAGTGCTTCTGGGTTCTGTTATTTTTGCTGTTTGCTGGGGTGGTGGTAGAGCTGGGGGAATGTGCAGGCTTGGAATTCATTCATTATGTGCCCATCCTATGTGCCAGGCACTTTGTGGAACCAGTATAGAACTGAGCAAGGGCTCTGGTATCTCCCTGGGCAGTGCTAGGCCCAGCTGAGCCTGGAGACCAAAAATCTGTTGGTTGCCGATCAGCAAAATATGAGATTTTCTCCCAAAAGATTTTATGGCAGCAGTGCAGGACTAGAGTGGGACTCACCCAGGGCAGTAGGTTGGTAGGGGGAGGCCTGGGAGGCTGAAGGGGCTCCCTTGAGGTCCAGGCTGGGTGGGCAGGTTGGCAGGGCTAGTGCAGAGGTCTGGGCTGCTCGGACTGGTGGTGAGGAAAGATGCAGCCTCCTCTTGGCCTCCTTCCTTCATCCACCCCGAACCAAGGACTCTAGCAAGCATGTTCCTGGCCTAGCAGCCAGCCACAGTGGGATGAAAGGCTGGCAGCTGGGAGTAAAGGCAGGTGGGGGTTGTGGTGGGAGGGATGGGGAGGGCAGGGTAGGCAGGAATTGTGGGCCTGGTGACTTGGTGGGGGATGGGGGCAGGAAGATAGTGGAGACAGGAGAGGGGGCTGGGAAGCACTCGTTTCCTCTCTCCAGGGCTGGGCCACAGGAAATCCAACCCTTGTGCTTCCCAAGGTGCTTCCTGCCGATAAAGTGGCCTTCTGACAGGCCCCTTCCTGCTCCCCCCTTTCCCCAGCCCTCCCATCCTGCCCCAGTCCCCAGGGGACCCTCAGCTCCCCCACTCCGGCCAGGCCAGTGGCCTTGGGAAGAGTCTGGACAAGGGGGTGGGAGGTCTGGGCATCCTGGGGCCACACTTCCGGGCAGGGAGGGTCCGCCCAGGCTTGAAGAGAAAGCAGGACCAGACCCACAGACAGCGCTGGAGATTCGGCTCTGTGGGGTCAGTGGAGTCCTGGGAGGCAGAGATTTTTTCCTAAAGGGGTAGTGGATGGAAGAGGAGAGAGCCAGGGCTCCCTCAGGGGTTAGGGCTGGTCCTTGGGAAGAGGGCCTTGCTCTGGGGTGATCAGATAAGGTTCTGGGGGCAGAGGAGTGGGTATTGGGGGGAGGGGGGCTTTGTGGTGGGCAGGTAGTGGTCAAGGTGGCTCTGTGGGGAGGGATCTGTTCTTGGAGGGGGTGCCAAGTACCGTACCTGTGGGGTTAGGGTGTTTCCAGGTTGTCATGGGGAGGAGTAGGGAGGTTTTCTGTGTGTAGGGGGTTCATTCAAGTTTATTGCTGGGAGCCTCGGGGGATCCAGGGCTGTTCTTGGAGAAGGCTGGGTGAGGCGGGGGGGGGGGGGGGGGGGGGGGCTCTTTTCTACCGGGGACCAGAGGGTGTGCCCATGCTCGGTTGTTCTGTGAACATTATCAAGTGCGTCCAGTGAGAGAGCGAGCAGCTCCGCTATGGGGGTCAGGGCCTTTCTTTGGGGGCACAGTCAAGGCATGTCGGGGAGTTCTGTGGGAGTCAGGAGCTGTTTCTCGGGAGATCAGGGATATTCCGACATTTAGGGCTGCTCTTTGCTCTCAGGGGTCTTGGGAGCACAGGTTTTGCAGCATTGGGGTAGTTCTGTGAGGGTTATCAGTGTTGTGGGGTGGCACGCTCCAATGGGGCGGTGGTGCTTGAGCTAGTTTCTTTACTGCGCTCCCCTCTTCTCCGCCCACTCATCACCCCCTCCCGCGTTGCCACGACAACGTGTAAAACTAAAATTCACTTCCCCGTTGCAGGTGGAGACTAGTAGCGCCCCCTCCCCTAAGCCTGTCCTCATAGGTCGCGCCCCCATCCTGTCGTCGCTAAGGTGACGGGAAGGGGGCGACAGGCGTTGGTCTAGGCAGACCAGGGGGCCTGGAGAGTGGGGAGGAGGAGAGGCGGCCTTGGGAGTCCAGAGCGAACTCGCCAAACTCGGCTGGGGATGCGGGAAGCCGCGCTGAACAGTATTCAGGGTGGTCGTAAGGGTTAAGTCGGAGGGTTAATTGGCTCTTGCTGCGTGTGGGAGAGCCCCGAGCCCCTCCCTGGCCCCGATGTCTCCTCCGTCTCACACCCAGGACCGGGGCAGGGTTGGTCACTGTCATCTCCCCCGGGCCTTGATGGGGCAGGGAGGTCGGTCGAATGGGGGAGAAGCTGCCACCCCCGGAAATTAATTCTCCTGTTTTTCTCTCCCCTTCCTGCCCTCTCTGGTCCTTGCACCCAACGCGGACCCCACCCCAGCTTCAGGACCCCCGGCTCGCGGAATCTTCCTCGGTGGTCCGCGGATGCTCGCACGCAGCCGAAGGGCGGCGCGGCCCTCGCGGCTCAGCCACTCCCCCCACGCCAAGGCCTAGGACTCCCCACACCCCCCGCACAGCCCCCAGGGCCCCCGCCCTGTGGGGCGGCCCAGGCCCTCCGCACGAACCCTTCCACCTCACCCCGGGACCCGTACAGTCCCCTCGCCCCCAGCCCTCGCCTGGCCCTGAGCCCTCCCGGCCCCCGCCTCCGGCGCAGCCCCCTTGCCACCCCCGCTTCCCTCCCGGCTCAGGCCCCCTCCCCCCGCCGCCCCCGCCCCCGGGGAAGGCAGGCGCCGAGCTGAGCCGGGTCGATGCAGCTGAGCCGCGCCGCCGCCGCCGCCGCCGCCCCTGCGGAGCCCTCGGCGCAGCTGTCCCCCGCGCCGGCCCCGGCCCCGGCCCCCCCCGGCCCCCTCCCGCACAGCGCGGCCGACGGGGCTCCGGCGGGGGGGAAGGGGGGGCCGGGGCGCCGCGCGGAGCCCCAGTGCGCTCCGCTCCCGGCCGCGAGCCGCCCGGGCTCCGGCCCGGGCGCGGGCGCCGGCGCGGGGATGGACGGCCCCGGGGCCAGCGCCGTGGTCGTGCGCGTCGGCATCCCGGACCTGCAGCAGACGGTAAGCCCCACCGCCCCGTCCCGGCAGCGCCCCCGCCCTCCTCGCCCAACCCCCCCGTCCACCGCCGCCCCCCCCCCCACCGGCGCGCTCCGAGGCGGGTGCCGGGGACCCCAGGCCCGCGGCTACTCACCCCTCCCCCGCCGCCTCCGCGGAGACCCTCCCCACCGCCCGGGCGGGGGCGGGGCCTGGAGAAGCACCGCCCTTGGGGCGGGTCCTCGCCCGCTGGACGCGGAGGCGCGGGGTCCCGGGCTTGGGCTCGGGAGCCCCGGACTCCTGCAGGGGCTCCCGGGACTTGGTGCCCTGCGCCGGGCCGGGCGGGGCCGGTCCGCGCTCACCCGGTCCGCACTCATGAGCCCGCACCGCCGCAGAAGTGTCTGCGCCTGGACCCGGCCGCGCCCGTGTGGGCCGCCAAGCAGCGCGTGCTCTGCGCCCTCAACCACAGCCTCCAGGACGCGCTCAACTACGGGCTCTTCCAGCCGCCCTCCCGGGGCCGCGCCGGCAAGTTCCTGGACGAGGAGCGGCTCTTGCAGGAGTACCCGCCCAACCTGGACACGCCCCTGCCCTACCTGGAGGTGAGTGGCGGGCGGGGGCGCGCGACCGGGGGCGGGAGGCGAGCGCGCGGGGCACGACCACAGAGTTCCGTGACGGTAGCAGGGAAGGGCACGGCAGTGAGGGGCGCGGACCCGAGGAGTCAGCCGTGTGTGTGTGTGTGGGGGGGTGTCTGTGTGCCCAGCGCAGTGAACGGTGCATACAGTGCGTGTGCGAGGCGCAGTGTGCGGGGTGTGTAGCGTGTGAGGTGTGAGCAGTACGTACGGCGAGCCTTGCGTGTTCTGTGCAGGGTTTGCAGTCAGCATCTTGTGTGGTGGGAACACAGAGTGGTTCTGCGGAGTGGGGTGTGAGTGGCGGAACAGTGTGTGGAGTAAGCCAGCGACTTACCTGTGTGAACACCTGTTCCCCTCCCCCGCCCATGGAATCCCTGAGGGCAGACCTCAGTCTTTCTCATCTGCTCACCCATTCATAATGGAAAGGATGTTGAGTGTGCTGTCAGGTGTGGGGATACAGATTTACAGTTTGGGGGGGTGGTGGCAAGTGCAGTGAGCATTAAAGTTTAAGCATTATGGTGTCTGAGCTCAAAGGTGGCTTGGCCTCTTTGGTGGCACAGGGAAATGGGGTTAGTTCTACTCAGGGCATGTCTAGGAAGGTAAGTCTGGAATCAGTCTTAGAAGAGGAGTGGCATTTTCCAGGGAATCCTGGGGGTGGGAATGAAAGAGAGAGGGTGTTGCAGGTTACAGGACAGCAGGCATGCATCCCATCTGAACTTGGTGTTGGCTCTGTGTGTGTGTAGTACATAGGAGTTTTGTGTGGCTGGCAGGGTGAGTAAGCAGGACTTGGTTTTGTGCGTGCATTCGCTCACTCAACCCAGATGGGTGCCTTTTCTCTGCCTTTTCTTTACCTGAGCAGTTTCGATACAAGAGGCGAGTTTATGCCCAGAACCTCATTGATGATAAGCAGTTTGCAAAGCTTCACACAAAGGTAAGGAGGAAGCCACAGAGAAGGGACTCCAGAGTTTACCTCCTGGCCCCTATGAGCAGTGTTCCCTTCACCCCAGCCTTGACTGGATTTTGTGATATCAAAAATGTCCTTTAAAAATTCCCAAGAGCCCTTCCTCTGCTCCCAGCACCCTCCACCCTGGCTTGGGGCTGACCACTGTCCCTCCAGCTTGGCTCAGTCTGTTTTCTCTTGTGTCAGGAGCCCAGAGCAGGTGTTGGGGCAGCTGGAGGGCTGGATGCAGACTCCAGCACCATGGCTGTTGTGTGGGTGGTCTGGTGACGGGTTTTAGTCAGATCAGACTCTTACTCACCCCTCTGGTGGGCCCCTGGCTGGGGGTGGTGGTGGAGTATGATGGGGCATGGTGTCTTGGTGAGAGCCTGGGTGGAATGGAAGTGAACAGGCACCTGATGTTCTCATTTAGGGGAACTGGGAGGGAGTGGAGAGAACAAGGAGCCTAGCACTTAGTGGTCACCCAGTGCTGGGCACTCATGATTGGGCACCTCATTAATTTTCTCCTGGGAGGGGCTATTATTACCTCATTTTCCGGATGAAGACACTGAGTCCCAGAGAAGTTTTGTGACTTGCTGACAGGTGTGCAGCCAGTGAAACTGGGGCTGAATACACATCTGTCAGATGCTGGGGCCCTGTGCTCAGGCACACCTACTGAACGCTACTGCTAGGTGGGCCTGACCCCAAATGTCCTTTGGGGGCTACCTCACTGCCCTCTCTGAATGTAGGAGAGGAAATGTGGGTGCCACGGCCCCTACCCACAGGCAGACTCCCTCAGCTCCCACCTCAGGTTCCAGTGACCAGTGGGCCTTTGCTTACTGGACACTTCATTGACAATCTCTGGAGGCTGTCTCCTTCTAGGACAAGGATCTGAGCACCGTCACCTCTGGGCCCCAGTGACCCCTCTGTGACCATGGAGCCTCCATGCCAGGTTTCTCTGCTGCCCCTGGGGCACATGGGGGTCTGAGGTCATGATTTTGGCTGGGCAGAGACTGTGCCCTCGCTCTCCACTTGCCCCAGTGTGACCCTGTCACTCTGGGTTCCTCCCCAAATGGTTACCCCTTCTCTAAAACTGTCCTGAGCAACTCACAGGACACTGGTGACACTTGTGACTATTGACCTCCTGTGAGTCCCACTTGTTTTTATTTATTTTATTTATTTTTTAAAGATTTTATTTATTTATTTGGCCGAGAGAGACACAGCGAGCGGGGGAACACAGGCAGGGGGAGTGGGAGAGGGAGAAGCAGGCTTCCCGCCGGGCAGGGAGCCCGATGCGGGGCTCGATCCCAGGACCCCGGGATCGTGACCTGAGCCGAAGGCAGACGCTTAACGACTGAGCCACCCAGGCGCCCCGAGTCCCTCTTGTTTTTAGATCGAGTTTCAACTCCTTACCCCAGCCCTGCATGTTTCTGGCTGCTTGGACCCTAACCAGCCCTCACCATCACACCGTCCCCTCTGGGTCTAGCTGAGGTCTCTCCCCTGTCATGAGCACCCTTCCTCCTGTTTGATTGTCTGGACTCACCTTAGGAGGCCACCTCCTGTGGCGCAGTTCTCTTGGTGCCCTCTCCTATTTCTGATGCAATCTGAGTGTGTTTAGAAGACCTGGGGCCTCCAGCCAAGGCCCCTTGCTTGTGCATGCAGCATCTGTACCATCAGCCTCAGTGAAGCTTTGCAGAGTGAATTAATGCATGACTAGGTCAATGAATGAAAGGCAGTCAAAGTCACGTCACAGGAGGGGCCACCCATGGGGGAGGAAGGGCTCGGGGATAGGGCTCTGCCTTGGGGTGATCTCATTAGGAAGAAGGAACAGACCACCTTGGGAGTGATGGGGCTGTGGGCTGTGGTGGGGGTGGTTCCTGCCTGGGTGCCTTGGGCTCTTCCAGGCTGTGCAGGTTGGGGCAGCATGGCTGAGGAGAGGAGCCAGAGCAGTGGCTGAGGTTGGCATAGGAAATTTTCTTGGGGGCATGACCAGGGCAGCCTGGCCTTGATGAGGGGCTGGCTGGGCTGAGACCGACTGTTGCAGTGGGCCTGGGATGCAGGGAAGGACTTCAAGCAGCACGAGGGCCCAGTGAGCTGAGATGGGCCACGTGGGCATACAGGGCTTAAGGTGATATGAGGGGGTGACAAGGTCATGATGTAGGGTGACAGGTGTGAGGAGGTGGGGCAGTAGATGCTCCTGTAGGGTGACAGGTGGCCTGAGGCTTGCTGGTAGAAGGTGGGTGACAGGCAGGTGATTGTAACTGTGCTGCTGGGCTGACCAGGATGGCTGGGTATTCCAGGCAAACCTGAAGAAGTTCATGGATTACGTCCAGCTGCACAGCACGGACAAGGTGGCCCGCCTACTGGACAAGGGGCTGGACCCCAATTTCCACGATCCTGACTCAGGAGGTGAGAAGCAGAGCAGGAAGGGGCATGGCCTTGGAGGTTGGGACCTTAACCTTCATCTGTCTCTTGAACCCAGAGTGTCCTCTGAGCCTTGCGGCCCAGCTGGACAATGCCACGGACCTGCTGAAGGTGTTGAGGAATGGCGGTGCTCACCTGGACTTCCGCACTCGAGATGGGCTCACTGCAGTGCACTGCGCTGCGCGTCAGCGGAATGCGGCAGCTTTGACGGTCAGTGTGGGTGGGGCCCTGGCCTGGAGGGGCACATGGCCCAGCGGGGGCGGGGGGAGGCTGGGCCCTGTGTGAATGCTGAGGCTCCTTGCCCTCAGACCCTGCTGGACCTGGGCGCTTCACCCGACTACAAGGACAGCCGCGGCCTGACGCCCTTGTACCACAGTGCCCTGGGGGGCGGGGATGCCCTCTGCTGTGAGCTGCTTCTTCATGACCATGCTCAGCTGGGGACCACGGATGAGAATGGCTGGCAGGAGATCCACCAGGTGGGCAGGGGGTGTGAGGGGGCGGGGGGAGTCTCAGCCTCTGTCTGGGGGTGGGGGGAGGTTTCTGGCTCTGTCAGGCAGTGGGGGCTTTCCGGGCCCTGTCAGTAGGACTGAGGGTCCTGGACTCTGTTCGGGGACCCAATAGCCTCTCCCTTATCCCCTAGGCCTGCCGCTTTGGGCATGTGCAGCACCTGGAGCACCTGCTGTTCTACGGAGCTGACATGGGGGCTCAGAATGCCTCAGGGAACACAGCCCTGCACATCTGTGCCCTTTATAACCAGGTGTGACTATGTGTGTACACATGCAGGCGTACCCCTGTACTGTGCTTGCTTACCTGTCTGGTCCTGGGTGCATGTTGTGTGTCCTGTGAACTGTGACCTTCTCAGCCCATGTGTGCACATCCGTTCCCTGAGCACACATGTTGCATGTGTGTTCCAAACAACCAGGTGTGAATTGTGCACATCTGGGCTTTCTGGGCCGAGTGGGACCTGTGTATGTTGTGTATACCTGATCTGCCCATCCCTATGCTGTGCATACGGGCTCTGGACACGTACGTGCGGGTGGGTGTGCCCTGGACCCCCATATGTGCCCCAGTGTGTGTGCATGCTGTTGCATCCTGACTGTGCCCCTCCAGCTGCCCAGTTGTGACCCCCACTCCAACCCTCCCAACAGGAGAGCTGTGCTCGGGTCCTTCTATTCCGTGGAGCTAACAAGGATGTCCGCAATTACAATAGCCAAACAGCCTTCCAGGTACAAGAGTGGTTTACAGGAGGGTGAGGCTGATCCCTGGGTGTCTGTCTCTGTGTGACTTGATCTCTCTGGACCTTGGTTCTTCCCCTGTAAGGCAATAAGGGAGCTCTCGCTCAAGGATTGGCCCAGGGTGAGATAGAGGAAGGGGGTAGGCCAGTACAGTGCCCAGCTCATGGAGGGGGCGTTCACTGTGGATGGTTCCCTTGTCTTCCTTCCAGGGAGAGAGGAGGGTCTTAGGGCTCTGGGGTCAGGGGAGAACCAGTGTGGGCTTGACCTGCCAGAGACAGGTAGGGTATAGAGGCCAAACCAGGGGTGAGAGGATTAGTTCTAGTCCCTGACTTAATTCAGGTGATGTTTCTGAGCACCTTCTCCAGCTGGGTTTGGTTCTTGGCACTGGGATGACCAGGCGCATGAGTCTCTGTATGGCCTGGAGTTTGTGAGTGAGGGAATTAAGACCACGTTATGGGGACTTTCTGACCACAGAGGGAGCTGGGCTTTTGTTCTCAGTGGAAGTGAGGGCTTTCAGAGGTCTCCTCAAAGATGTGAGGAAAATAGGTAGGTCCTCTGTGGCTGTCCAGTCAGGGGACAGCTGCAGCAGTGGAAGAGCCCGGTGGGTTTGGGTGAGTCTGGAAGGGTCTGTTGGATGACTAGATGAAGAGACAAGGGAAGGGAAGTAGGAGGGTGACAGGTATGAGGCAGTGGTAGGCCATGGTTGAGACAGGAGTGATGAGGTGTGTGGAGGGGCTGTTAAGAGAATCAGTTGGGTGACCTGTAGGCCTGGACTGTCCTGGTTTTAGCTCCAAAAGTCTCATGTCCCAGGAAACCTCTTAGTCCTGGGCAGAATAGGGTGGTGGGTTAGACAGGGGCCAAGGTCTGAGCCTGGGACCCCCAACCAAGGAAGACCCCAAACAGGAGCCCGGTCAGGGTGCACAGGGGCCAAGAGGGGGCAGGCTAGGTGCCCCTGAGTCTCCTCTCTCCCCCTTCCCCTCAGGAACCCAGGTAGGTTACACAGGGGTCAAGGGGGGCAGGCTTGGCACCCCTGAGTCCCCTCTCTCCCCTTCCCCCTCAGGAACCCAGGCAGGTTACACAGGGGCCAAGGGGGGCAGGCTAGGTGCCCCTGAGTCCCCATTCTCACCCCACCTCAGGAGCCCAGGCAGGGTGCACAGGGACCAAGGGGGGCAGGCTAGGTGCCCCTGAGTCCCCTCTCTCTCCCTCTCCCCTTCAGGAGCCCAGGCAGGGACCAAGGGAGGCTGGCTTGGCGCCCCTGAGTCCCCTCTCTCCCCCTCCCCACCTCAGGTGGCCATCATTGCAGGGAACTTTGAGCTTGCAGAAGTCATCAAGACCCATAAAGACTCGGATGTTGGTGAGTTCTGCCCAACCCAGGTCCCTGTTGGAGGTGGATTTGTGGGGAGTGGTCAGGGCCCCAACAGTGCAGAGGTCAGTGGGGATGGTACAAGGGAGCCCCCCATACCCTGAGCCTCTTCCTTGCAGCTATATTTTAGTCAGAGTTCCATTAATGGCCCCTGAAGGTAGGGGGAATCTGCTGAGGGAAGGGCCTGTGTGGAGTGGACAAAGGGTTTGAGTAAGGGTTGAGAGCATGGTTAGGTTAGGGCTGTGGGTTGGGGCCATTGTTGAGTTTAGGGATCGACTTAGGTTGAGAGTGGGGTTGAAGTTAGGGTCAAGGTTCATTTCCTGTTAGGTCATATGAAGGGTCAGCAGGGCACATGGGGCAGTGGATCTCAGCCGTTGACCCTCAGTGTGTCACTCTTACCTGGAGCAGGAACCGGTTTAAGTGGCCCATATCGTGCTTCAGTAGGACAAGGTCACATAAAGAAAATAAAACACAGTGGTCGCGATGCAAATGGAAAAGGGAAAAGCTATCTTCAGGGCACTGAGCTCTGAACCAGTGCACCAGGGGAGCCCAGGATATGCCTGACTCATGGTCCCAGAAGGAAAACCAGGAGATGCCACTTGGTCTTGCCACTAGGGCAGGCAGGAGGATGGGCACAGCCATCGCACTGGAGCCTCAAGGAGGTCCCCACCCACTCCCGCTTTAGTGCTGGGTGCTGGGCTGCTCTGGGACCTGTTCTTGGAATCCCCCCTTCTCTCTCCCGTGTGCAGTGGGTGGGGCTATGGGAGAGGGTAGGTCTCCTCTCTTGGAAAGGTGACCCCTTCAGCTAGCTGGCCACATGAGGGCTCCCTTCTTAGCTCCCTCTGTCCTGAGTGGACCAGGTTTTTCTGCCCATGGTTCTCTCTGGAACACGGGCTCCCAGGCTCCCCTTTCTGCCATGGTTGCAGTGTCCCCATTAAAAAAAGCAAAAACAAGAAACAACTTAAGTGACACTGGACAGCAAAGGGCTAGGGATGGTTTTGGTTCTATTGTGAGGTTACAGTCAGGGCTAGGGTTGAATTTTGGACTGGGGTTAAGATTAAGGTCAAGTTCCGGTTTAAGGACTCTTCCCCTGTAGAGTGAGGGCTCAGTTATGGTCTGGTTGGGGCTGATAAGTGTTTTGGAGGTGGTTGTTAGCCTGGGAGAACCCTGGTTTGTAGACATATGGGATCCTCTCATCTTGTGATTATTTGACCATGGGAAAGCTGCTTAGGACCTCTGTGCCTCAGTTTCTCTTATGTAAAATGTATTTTTTTAGTGGTTGTTTGCATACCATTCCCTCCTCTGACCTCATGTGGGATTTGATTCTGTGTGTCTGGACTCTGGCAGGTGAACTTGGTCTAACTGATTGGAGGGAGGGGGTGTCTGGTCCCAGCCAAGAGAGAGGAAGGCTCCAGCTGCCTCTCATTTTCCTGATAATGGACAGAGATACTAGGGCTCCTAGGGTCACCATTGTTACGACTCACTGTCTGGCTGACCCAGAGTATGCTCGCCAGGTTGGAGTTAGGCATGTCATTGCTGAGCTGAGGTACAGAGCAGGTGTGCATACCAGTTCACCCCCGTGTGGGCATTGGCTTTGCTGGCTATGTACCCTAACCTGCTCAGGTGTCGTGCATACACGCAGATGACATAGCCAGATGTCCCTGAGCTACAAGGAATATATTCATGAGTGTTTACTATAAGCCTTGTTATTTTAGTTTACTCTCTCAGCAACCCCTCATGGAGTGATTATTAGTAGTCCATTTTTATAAACGGGGTTTAGGGCAGGGGCTGTCTTTGGACCTGTCCTTGTCACCCCCTACTCCCTCTGCACACCTTCACTCCAGGGACACTCCCTCAATGACAGTCACAAGTTGCCCTGTCTCACCCCAGGTTGGGGACCTGGGATGGGCCTGCACACAGAAGAGCTGGAGGGAGGCTCTGCCCATCCATCCTCCTTCCTCTTCCTCGGGAAGGGAAGCCCTTGTGGAGGGTCTGGTAGGCTGGGACCTGTTACCCTTCCACGGACAACCGGGAATCCTATTGGCAGCCCTCTCTGGATTGATAGGCCTGAAGCAGAGAGAGACCCTTGTCTGGGAGCAGCTACTCGTGTGCCTTGACCTCTGTTGCCTTGGGCCGACTTAGGGTCCACATTCTTCCCCGCCATCTCTCACGCACATGCTTTCATGTTCTCCCCGACTTGCTGTCCCATAGTGCCGGAGAGAAGTTCTTCTCACACCATACCTTGGGATCTTGTTAAATGTAAATTCTGACTTAGTGGCTCTGGGTGGATCCTGAGAGTTTGCATTTCCAGAGTTTCGGCTCTGAGGTGAGGCTGATGGTCCATGGCCCACACTTCTCTAAGAGGAATCTAGAATAGGGCTTGGCAAATGAGGCCTCACAGGCCAAATTCAGCCCACAGTCTGCTTTTTTTTTTTTTTTAAGTTGAGGCTTTAAAATTGAGGATTTATGTTTCATTTAGAGTTAAATCCACATAACATAAAATTAATTATTTTAAGTTGAATAATTCAGTGGTATTTAATACTTTTACAGTGTTATACAACCACATTTATTGAATTTCAAATATTTTCATCATCCAAAAAAGGAAACCCTGCATACATGAAGTAATTATTCCATATTCCCCTCCCCCTCAACCTCTCTTAACCCTTAACATGCTTTCTGTCTCTATAGATTTATCTATTCTAGATATTCACATAAATAGAATCCTACAATATGTGACTCTTGGTGTTTGGCTTCTTTCACTCAGCTTGTTTCCAGGCTTCTCTATATTGTAGGATGTATTACTGCTTCATTTTTTTTTATGGCTGAATAGTATTCCATTGTTTGTATATATAAAATTTTGTTTATCCATACATTCTTCAACAGGACACTTGGGTTGTTTCTACCTTTCGGCTATTATGAATATTGCTGCTATGAACATGTGTGAAATGTATTGGTTTGGATACCTGTTTTCAGTTATTTTGGATATAAACTTAGGAGGGGAATTGCTGGGCCATATGATAATTCTATATTTAACTTTTTGAGAAACTGCCAAATTGTTTTTTACCATTTTACATTCCTACCAGTAATGTATGAGAATTTCAAAGTCTTCAAATCTTTGCTAACACTTGTAATCATTGGTTTGTTTTTATTATTATTATTATTTTTATTTTTATTGTGGCCATTCTAGTTAGTGTGACATAGTATCTCGTAGTTTTGATTTGCATTTCCCTAGTGGCTAATGATGTTTATTGGCCATTTGTATATTTTCTTTGGAGAAATGTCAAGTCCTTTGCTTATTTTTTTAATTGCCCATAGAATGAGTTAGGAGGTGTTCTTTCCTCTTCTAGTTTTTGGAAGAATTTGAGAAGGATGGGTGTTAATTCTTCTTTAAGTGTTTGGTAGAATTCACCAGTGAAGCTGTCTGATGCTGGACTTGTGTTTGTTGGGAGATTTGTGATTTTTGATCCATCTCTTTGCTTGTTACAGGTCTGTTTAGATTTTCTATTTCTTCTTGAGTCAGTTTTGGTAATCTGTATTTTTCTAGAAATCTGTTCATCTCATCTAACTTATCTAATTTGTTGGCATACAGTTGTTCATAGTATTCTCTTAATCCTTTTTAATTCTATAAGATTGGTAGCAGTGCCACAATTTCACTTCTGATTTTAGTTATTTGTGTCCCTCTTCTCTTTTTTCTCTGAGTCAGTCTAGCTACAGGTTTGTCAGTTTTGTGGATATTTTCAAAGAAACAACTTTTGTTTTCATTGATTTTCTCTATATTCTGTTCTCTATTTCATTTATCTTTGTCTATCCTTATTTCCTTCCTTCTGCTAGCTTTGGGTTTGGTTTGCTTCTCTTTTGTAGTTCCTTAAGAGGTGCACTTAGCTTATTGATTTGAGACTTTTATCCTTTTTTGATATAGATGTTTACAGCTATGAATCTCCTTATTGGCACTGCTTTTGCTGCATCCCATAAGTTTTGGTGTGTTTTTGTTTTTATTTTCTCAGAGTGTTTTCTAATTTCCTTGTGATTTGTTTTGACACACTGGTTGTTTAAGAGTGTGTTGTTTAATTGTCATGTATTTGTGAATTTTTCAGTTTTTTTTTTGTTGTTGTTGTTCTTGAATTCTAGCTTCATCCCATTGTGCTTGGAGAAGATATTTTGTGTGATTTCACTCATTTAAAATTTATTGAGACTTGTTTTGTGGCCTAACATATAGTCTGTCCTGGAAAATGTTGCATGTGCACTTGAGAATAATGTATATTCTTCTCTTGTTTTCTGTAGTGTTCTATACACATATCTGTTAGGTCTAATTGGTTCAAGTCTTCTATGTCCTTATTGATTGTCCCTCTAGATGTTCTATCCATTATTGAAAGTGGGGTGTTGAAGTCTTAAATATTATTATGGAACTGTCTGTTTCTCCAAATGTGTTAACGTTTATTTCATATATTTTGATGCTCTGTTGTTTGGTGCATATATGTTAATAATTGTTAATATATTTGATGAATTGACACCTTTTCTATATACAATGTCCTCTGTCTCTTGTAACACTTTTTATCTCTAAGTCTGTTTTGTCTGATATAAATATAGCTACTTAGCTCTCCTGGTTACTATTTACATGAAATATCTTCCTTTATTCTTTTATTTTAAACCTACCTGTGTCTTTGGATCCACAGTGATTCTTTTTGTAAATAGCATATAGTTGGATCATGTTTTTTAAATCACCATCTGCTTTTTAAATAAAGTTTTATTGGAACTCAGCCACACCCATTTGCTTATATATTGTCTGTGGCTGTTTTCATGCTATAGTGGCAGCGTTGAGTCCTTAGGACAGAGGCTATATGGCTTGCAAAGTCTGAAATAGTTACTATCTGATTCATTACAGAAGTTTGCCAAACCCTGGTCTAGAATGTCTTTTATGGTTTCCCTCGTTTTAGTTAACCATAGATGGTCCAGTACAGCAGTAGCCTGGTGAGATTTGTCTCATGTGGCCTGTTCTGCCTCGGCTGAACCCTGTGAAATGGGCAGTTTCTTTCTTTTCTTTCTTTTTTTTTTAAAAGATTTTTATTTATTTGAGAGAGAGAGAATGAGAGAGAGCACATGAGAGGGGGGAAGGTCAGAGGGAGAAGCAGGCTCCCCGCCGAGCAGGGAGCCCGATGAGGGACTCGATCCAGGGACTCCAGGATCATGACCTGAGCCGAAGGCAGTCGCTTAACCAACTGAGCCACCCAGGCGCCCGAAATGGGCAGTTTCAAGAGCAGATCTGAGCATGCCCAAGACCTCATTTGGCTGACAGGAGGAGCAGGCTTCTGCCTCTGAAGCTAGAGTTAGAGGCAGTTTGGGATTGACCCCCAATGGTAGCTTCGGTGATAGGCTGGCCAACTGTCCTGGTTGCCCAGGACTGAGGCAGCTCCTGGGACATAGGATTTTAGTTTTAAAATCTGGAAGGCAAACCAGGGTAAGTTGGTCACCCTATCTGGCTGCCCAGAGTCTCATCTGTACCCCCCCCACTCCCACACAGTACCATTCAGGGAAACCCCCAGTTATGCAAAGCGGCGGCGGTTGGCTGGCCCCAGTGGCCTGGCCTCCCCTCGGCCCCTGCAGCGCTCAGCCAGTGACATCAACCTGAAGGGTGAGGTGCAACCGGCAGCTTCTCCTGGACCCTCGCTGCGAAGCCTCCCCCATCAGCTGCTCCTCCAGCGGCTGCAGGAGGAGAAAGACCGAGATCGGGATGGTGACCAAGAGAATGACATCGGTGGCCCCACAGCAGGCAGGGGCAGCCAGAGCAAGATCAGGTAGGAGGCGTCTGGGAGGCCCTGGCAGGGTCTGGGTGGGTGGGGTGTTGGGACCCAAGCAGGAGGAGCCAGCATGGAGAGGCAGGGAGAGACCTAGTGGTGCCTGGCACCTCTACAGTGATGGGCTGAGGCTCGGGGTGGGGGACTCCCAGGCCCCCCATACAGGCCTCCCTGGATGGGAAAGGGAAGAAAGTGAGGCCTTGTTGGCTGGAGCAGGCTCTCCCATGCTGATCTTTTGGAGCTGAATTTGTCCTGAGGGAAATGTAGGGAGAATGTTGAAGGAGAGGGTTTGGCCAGCTCTGTGCTTTGTAAAGTTTCCTGCAGTGCTAGGAGGAGGGTAAAGGCTGAGATGAGGCAGGGCTGGGTGGTGTGTGGTAAGGGGTTAGGGAATGGAGCTTCATCTCCATGAGGGCTTGAAACCTATAGGTGACCCCTAGCCCTGTCTCTAAGAGGGAGTCTTCGTCTTTCCCCCCCCCTCTCCAGCCCTGTAGAACCACAAGACTCTCTGGTTTTACTCTTTACCCCTTACCATTAGCGCTGGGACCCTGAGAACCAGGGACATGGGAGGGACTTGGCATCCCCAGAACTCAGAGGAAGAAGCCTGGGCTAAAGCCCCACCGGCCTTGGTGGGCTGGACAGTGGGGAGTAGGGGGGTGGGCACTGGCTCTGCAGATAAATGGTTGGGGTCCAGTGCAGACCTGGCATCTGCTGACTGTGGCCTTGGACAGGTCAGCTAACCACTCTGTGCCTGGGTTTCTCATCAGTAAGGTAGGAGTAATTCCATGCAGTTGTTTCCTTCGGGAAGCCTTCCGGAACCTGGGCAGGTGAGGGGTCCCTACCGGGATCCCCTGGCCCACAGCACAGTCCAGCCACTGCTGGTTAAGGCATCTCTCCTCCTGGCACTTCGAGGAGGAGCTGTCCTCCTGCAGCTTCCCCAGAGCCAGTCACATAGAAGGTGCTCAGGAGACATTGTTGAATGAGTTACATAAACAGCATTTTGTTTTCAAGATGACAGCTGGGCTGAGCAGCATATGTGTATTGTTTCACTTAACTTTGGCCATACGTGAGGCTGTGCTCTATTAACACTATTTTACAGATGAGGGTCCTGATGCTCTGATGGGGTAAGTGACTTGTCTAAAGTCACATAGCTAGGAAGCAGCATAATTGGGCCCCACGTAGACCTGGTTCCCAAATTTTCTAAGCCTGAGTGTTCAGCAGAGGGCTTGGGGTGCAGCAGGAGCTTATAAAAGCAATTTCTTCCTTTGCCTTTGTCCCTGCTTGTGCAGCTGTAATCTGTGATGTCTCCTCTCTCTCCGTGTCTCTGCCCAGACTCCAACGCTGTCTGTCCTGCTCCAAATCACCTCAATTCTCCCCTGAAGCTTTTGCATGTCCCATGGATTTCTTAAGGGTAGGACAGCCCAGTGTCTAAAAGAACAAACTTTGGGATGTTTCAGTTTTGCAGAAACAAAAACCTGTAGATGCCCTGTTTTCATTTATTTTTTGTATATTCATTTATCCTTTTGGCAAACATAGAACTAAGACCTGCTCTGTGTGGGACGGCAGGATTATTACTATTTTTCTACAAATACTTAGTCGGTGCCTAGATGCCAGATGTGGTGGGAGCTAATAGCAGGGAGTCCTAAAGGTCTCAGAAGGACACTGACAGCTGGGGCCCAGGACTAAGAAGCAGTTAGATGGGCAGTAATTCAGGTAGGGGGAGCTCCTGGTGAGTGGCCAGGAGGGGACTGAGGAAGTTCAGTGCACCATGGAGGGAGAACACCTCAGGGGAGGAGATCCCCTTTGGCATTTGAGCTGCAGGGGCGGCAGGGGGTGGTGGTGGGGAATGTGTGGAGGGAGGCCTAGTCCCCGCCCCCCCCGCCCCCCTGTTGGCAGAGCCTGGCATGGAGCCCCTAGCTCCCCGCAATGTGTGGCAGAGTCTCCCCAGCATCACAGAGCAGGGCAGAGAAAAATGGGGCTGTAGCTGAGAGACAATAACTTAATAATTGGACAGATGAGCAGGATTAGAATAGTTGAAGTGTTGGGGACAACATCATGAATAGCCAGAGGAGGAAAAGGAAGATGCCCAACCATGTGACTGGAGTGTAGCTAGTTCTCACAACCCAGAGAGCCTGGCTATTGCCTGAGAATGTGGACCTGGGCTGCCTGGGTACTAGGGAGTCAGTGCAGGCTTTTGAGCAGCGCGAAGGTGGAGAACCTTCGAGCCTTAGGCTCAATGCTCCGGTTGGGAGAGCCATCCGGGCAAGGTGGTCAGCACAGAGTCGGTATGGGCATCAGGGACAGGTGTCGAGGAGAAGACACAGGTCTGGAGGAGGATTTGGGCGCCCAGCACATGGCAGTGGCCAGGTGGAGGAGAAGGCCGAGGCCTGAGCAGGGAGGTGGGGGTGGACCGCTGGTGGAGCCCCTCCTGGCCGCGGAGCCGCCCCCCAACCCCTCCCAGCTCGCACCTGGCTCTGCTGACCGCGTTCCCCGCCCTCCTCAGTCCGACCTCTCCTCTGCCCGCCGTGCGCTGCAGTGCCCCTCGCCCCGTGGCCTCGGGGCCGCGGTGAGGTGGCCGCTGGAGGAGAGGGAGGAGGGCCGGCCGCCGCCGCCGCCCGCAGAGGGAGGAGCCCGGCCGCGGAGGAGGCGGGGCGCGAGGAGCGGCCGCGGCATGGAGCGAGCCCGGCGCGCCCGGGAGCGCAGCCCCGCGGCCCCGGAGCCCTGAGCGGGCGCGGCTCGTGCGCTGGCGGGAGCGGGCCGGGCGCGGCGGCGCGGCCCATGGAGCGGCCCCGGGCCGGGCCCCCGGCGGGCGGGCGGGCGGCGGCGGGCGGCGGGCGGCGGGCGCTGCGGCGGCGGCTGCGGTGAGGCCGGCGGCGGGGCCGGGCCGCGCGCCATGGAGGCCCCGGGCGCCGGCTTCGCGTGCCCGCTGCCCCCCGGCATCGCGTCCGTCACCTACGTGTTCGTCTACAGCCCGAGCGGGCCCGGCGGCCCCGGCGGCCCGGGCCCCGCGCCCGGCCCCGGTCCGGCGCCCCCTGCGCCCCCCGCGCCGCCGCCCCGGGGCCCGAAGCGGAAACTTTACAGCGCCGTCCCCGGCCGCAAGTTCATCGCCGTGAAGGCGCACAGCCCGCAGGGCGAGGGCGAGATCCCGCTGCACCGCGGCGAGGCCGTGAAGGGTGAGGGGGGCGCGGGGGGCGGGGTCGTGGGGCGCGCGGGGGGGCACCACTCCCGGGTGCACGATTGGGGTCCTCCGCGATCGTGGAAGGGCTGATGCCGTTTTCGGGGTCTCTGTCATTGGGGGTATCTCTGGAACTCTGAGCCGCTGTGGTCATTATGGGATGCATCTGCCCCTGGGGATTCCTTGTGTCACCGTGAAGGGCTCTGTGTCAGGGAGGGGTGTCTGTCTTTCCGGGGGTCCTGTCATGTGGGTCCCTCTCAATCCTCTGCTACTGTGGGTTCCCTGTTGTCACCGTAGAGGTGCCTCTCGTCATGGGGCTGTTTTTGTGTCATGATGGAGGTTGGTGTCATTGGGGTTCTGTATATTTGAAGGACCCTATCCCATCAGGGACCTTCCTCCAATTATGGGATTCCTGTGTCACTTCTGGGACTTATTCATTGGAAATCCTTGTGATATGTGGGGACCCTGTCCCATTGTGGGGGATATCTGTGACAATTATGTGGGTGTCTGTGTTTTATGAAGGTTTTTATCACTGACGCTTTCTGTGTTCTGGGGGTATCCTGTGCCATGACAAGCTCCTCTCATTATGGGGGCCTCTGTCGTTTTTGGGGTCCTATCCTCATGGGTGCCCTACGTCCATGGGAGCCTGAGAAGGAGACAGCTGTGAGGTCGGCCTTCCTTTGGTCCATCATGTGGCCTAACCTCTTGGCCACAGCACAATGACCCTGAGCTTTTGGCAGTGACCCCTGGGGTGGGCAATAAGAGGTGGGGGAAGAGGGGTCAACTGGGAGGGCAGGAGCAGGCTTGTGGCCCCTGCCTCTGCCTGTTGTCCCCCCTCGAGTGTGTCCATCTGTGTGTCTTTCTGTCCTCCACATGCCTATCCTGTGCTGTGTCCATCTGTTCATTTCTGTCTGCTGTGTGGATCCCAAAATCTTCCCAGGGAAAAAGCCAGGAGGGTGAAGGGAGGGAAGGGGAGAGAAGGAGAGAAAGGGTGAAGGAGGCGGGTGGTGGGCAGAACCTGGGCCTGAGGTGGGGGGTGGGGTGGGCCCCTGGGTGGCCTGCTGCACCCTGACAGCTGTCTGGCTTCTGTCCCTCCAGTGCTCAGCATTGGGGAGGGCGGTTTCTGGGAGGGGACCGTGAAAGGCCGCACGGGCTGGTTCCCGGCCGACTGCGTGGAGGAGGTGCAGATGAGACAGTATGACACACGGCATGGTGAGTGACCCCACAACCCCTGAGCAGCTCCCGAGCGCCCTGCCCCTTCTTGCTCCCTTTGGTCTTGCTTGGAGCTAAATCCATGGATGTTCACGGAGAAAAGACTAAACTCAAACACACGTTCCAAGTGGACACAAACTTGTGTACATGACAGACACAGCGTGCATGCACCCTGTACGTACTTGTGAGCACATGTGGGTGTTTGCAGCCTGCTCATAGGACACACAGTATGATTGTGTATCTCTCTGTGATCCCACACGTGACTCCCAGTGACCATAACCCCCCCCCCCCCCCCCCCCCCCCCGCCCCACGTAGTCCTTACAGTAATCCTGGGTGTTTGGAGTGTGAGATTCCGGTGTGGCTGGCAGACAAGTAAAGAGGTCAGTATGAGAAAAGAGGCATCTTTCCAAAGTGGACAGATTGTCCAAGTGGGCAGTGCAGGGAGGCCTGGACCAGCCAAGAGGAAATGAGGCCATTTGGGCCCAGAGGGGCTGTCGTGGGTACCTTGGGGCCAGGATGGTCTGAGGGCAGCGGGTGAGTATGGCTGCATCCTTAGCCTGGAGGGAGGATATGAGGGCAAAGGTTTCAGTTTCTAAGGCTGGGGAGCAGCTTTAGTCAGACCTTGCTGACTGGCTGGGCCTCCAGAAAGGACCCCTCTGGGGGGGATCTGAGGCAGTCCTGCCAGTAGTAAGCAGGGGCTGCCCCTTTTGTGGCTCGCAGGCCAGGGCTGGCTGTGTGTCTGGGGTATAACCTTGCAATGAGTACTCAGGGTCCTAGGAGGCCCCCAGGCCCATGAGTGTTACTTCTGCCTTGGAGAACAGGTGTCACAAGGGAGCCCCCTCCTGAGTGGTGACCAGTGGTAGTTACCAGCGGTGTGTCTAGACCGAGGGTGCCCCTAGAGGGCTTGGGCCCAGGGTTGCTGTGCTCCATTACCCTGGGTTGAGGGTTTCCCAAGGGGAGCCAACCTCTATGTGGCCTGGACCTCTGCCCTATGTGAAGCATGGCCGAGGCCCAGGCAAGCAGGAGTGCGGCTGCTGACCCGCTCCTGAGCAGGTGCCTTTCCTCCTTTACTCAACCATTCCTTGTCTTGCCCTGATGGCTCTCCTGGTGGCTGGGAGCAGGGAAGGGACACCGACCCCTGTTTTCTGCCTCTGGAGGGTAGGTGGGGCAGTGTGTCTAGGTGGGGAATGATTTTAGAGGTTTGGGCCCTGGTACCAACTTCATGGAGGAGGGTGGTGAAGAAGGGGCCTCTGGACTTGTTGAGTAGGGACTGGATCCTGTGCTCCCCCTTGGGAGGGCAATGAAGTCTCCGGTTTGAGAACTGTGTGGATCCAGAAGCTGAGTTGGAAGCTGGGATCTGAGAACAGCAAATCTTGATGTGCGTTGGGCCCTGTGTTAGGAGCAGGGTCACAGGCCAGTTCTCTGCCTAGAAAGGAGTGGGTGTGCCCAGCAGCGAGAGCAGATATGTCGGTGGGGTCCTGAAATGGGCGGGGGCACAGGGGAGCCCCCTGGGGCTGGCCTGGAGGAGTCGGAGAGCAGCCTCGTGGACAGCGGGGAGTCCGCTAGGTGGTCAGCTGGTGGGGAGAGGGGCAGAGCCTGTGTGCTGGAACATGGCCTGCTGTTCTAGATTACACGTGCTGGCATCTAGCATGCTCCGAGCTGCGTCAGGATGTCTGGCACAGTTCTCAGCACTTTCACGGAGGAGACTTCTGACTCGTCCCAGCAGGTCTGGGAGGTGCGGGCAGTTGCTAGCTCATCTCTAGGAAGGCAGAGCCCTGTGTGTGGTGTGGGCAGTGAGCTGCAGGGTCTCTGTTGTAGCCACCACTCTGCAGGGGCTCTGGGTGAGTGAAGCTCGTGTGTGCACTGAGGAGCGGCAGGGCTGGGGTGGGGAGCATGAGGCCGGTCAGGTGGCCGTGGGACCGGGTGGAGGAGCTTTGCGGCTTGTGGCAGCGCTGCAGGAGACTGGGGTGTGCTGTCTTGATGGTGCAGGTCATTTAGGGTTGGGACAAAGACCCAGGCAGGACAGAGTGAGGAGGTGGAGAGGGCTGGGGTAGGCTGAAGCTCTGGAGATGGAAGAGTGCAAGGAGCAGCTACAGGCCTCAGGGCAATTGCAGGGCTGCTAGACCAGGGTGGCTCTGGGGTTTGTCACCTGAAAGAGTCTCAGAAGGTACCCGTGTAGATGGGTCTAGATGGAACCCTTTCATGGGTGGGCAGATGGAGAGAGGCCTGTGGGTGTGCCTGCTGGCAAGGGGTAGGAGTAATCTCTGTCCTCAGCTGAAGACCCAGCCACCAGCTGCCCTGGGTGTATAGTCTCTGATCTGGGACTCAGGGGCTGAGTTCTGCCAGAGGCCAGAGGGTAGCCCAGGAGTGGGAACCCGCTTCCAGCAGGCCCAGATCCAAAGAAAGATCTGCTTCTGGGACTGGAGTAGGGCAGAGAGGGACTAGAGGCCAAAAAGGGGACACTGTGCCAGCATGTATGGGCCAGGCTGATGCCCAGGGTCATCAGAGAGTGTACCCCTCAGGCACCTGTCTGGGGCAGAAGGGGTAAAAAGGGCAGTTGTGGGCAGAGCGCTGAGAAGTGAGGGGAAGTCCTGTGCGGACAGAGGGGTCTGTGGGACACCTGGAAACTCCTCCCCTTCCCCCTTCCTCTTCCTCCTTCCCTCTTTCCCTGTCTTTCCAGTACTTGGGGGGTCATGCTGTGTGTTTTCACTTCAGCTGGATTCTATGTGTCTGATTAATAAAACTGGAAAATGAATTTGTGTTATGTAATATAATTTGACAAAATCTAAAAACTGGAGGCTAATGAACTGTGGAGTTTGAGGGGGTCTTTCTGCAGGCAGGCGCTATGAACATTTAGAAGTTGGGTTAGTATGGAGAAGGGTATGACAGGCAAGAAGGGGTCTGATGCCCTCCCCCCTCCCCCCCAATGATGAGCCCTGGTCTGCTCTGGTCTTGGGAATAGCAGGATGGTGGGTGCAGGTGCACGACAGGCCATGTTTTGGAAGAGAAGAGAAGGGAGCAGATGAGCTGCTGGGAGGGTTAGGGTGATAAATTACAGGTAATCGGAACCTAGAGGACCCTCCAAGGAGAATTTCCCTGTTCTACAAGGAGAGGCTCAAAAGGGTCTGTTGACTTAGTGAGAATCGTATTAGTGGCAGGATCCTAAAAGCAGGACCAATACTTTTCCTGATGCCTGTGTCTTCTGATATTAATAGGGATTCTTTCTTTTTTCCATCCAGCCACTGCTCCATCTAGTCTTGTATCCATCTATCCCTTGACTTACTCACCTTTCCTGCTGTTCATCTACTTTTCTTTTTTTTTTAAAGATTTTATTTATTTATTTGAGAGAGAGAGCACGAGCAGGGGGAAGAGACAGAGGGAGAGGGAGAAATAGACTCCCTGGTGAGCAGGGAGCCCGATGCGGGACTCGATCGCAAGACCCTGAGATCATGACCTGAGCCGAAGGCAGACGCTTAACCGACTGAGCCACCCAGGCGTCCCTCATCTACTCTTCTATCAACCCACCCAGCCAACCCCTCTTTCCATCTATCCACCCACCCAACCATCTGTCCATCTATTGATCAATACAGTCATCAATCTACCAGTCCAGCTATCCCCTTTCTGTCAACCCACCCAGCCCACCTCTCCATTCCTTTATCCATCTACCACCCTTTGATCCATCCATATCCTCCCAGCCTGTTCTCTTTTCCTCCATCCACTTCTGTATCTATTTACCTTTGATCTGATCTATTTTTCTACCTATATCTTGTTCTGTCTGTCCATCCGTCCACCCATCTACTCAGCCAGTTGTCCACCCGTCTATCCTTCCAGTTAGCATTTAGAGGGTCTGTTATGTGCCAGGCACTGTAGTATGTGCTGGGATCACAGAAATACATGAGATGTGATCCTTACCTGGGAGGAGCTCACAATCAATCACAGGTTCCCTCTCTGATCTCATTCCTCTCTCTCACTCCCTCTGCTCCAGCTGCATAGGCTGCTTGCTGTCCCTTGAACATCCCAAGCCAATCCTGCTATGTGGGCTTTGCCCTGTGTACCCTTGCTGCCAGGAAGCCCTTCACCCACAGAGTCCTCGGACTGCTCCCTAATGCTCTGTGCCTCTCCCCAACTGTCCCTTCCTGATGAGCCTTCACGTGACCACCCTAAGACTGCAAACTTTCTCTGTACCCCTATCCTGCTTACTTCTCTCCTAACGTTTGCCAGCATTTGACATGTTATGCATATACCTGTTTCCTGTCTTTCTGTTCTCTCTCTCTTCAACTAGATGGTAAACTCCACAGGGTAGAGGTTTTGTTCTGTTCTTTGCTGTATTCTCAGAGCCTAAGACAACAGTGCTTGGTACATAGTAGGCGCTCTCTAAATACTTGCTGAATGAATGAATGAATCTTGAGAAATGCTAGAATGATAGGGAATGAGAGCGGAGCTGTGGATGAAGTGTGAAGTGTGGTAGAGCTGTCTTGGGGTCCTTCCAGGGTCCTGGAGAGATGGAATCCAGGAGGGGCAGGAGTGGGGGTTGAGGTGCGGGAGAGTCTTACTTACAGGTAACTGGAGAAGAAAGCCTGGAGCGTGGGGTGGGGTTTGTGGCTGTGGGTGCAGACTGGAAGCTGCAGGCTTGCAGGGAATCAGCAAGGCCATGGGTGGGGCATCAGGTGGACAGCTGGCTAGCCCTGCAACAGCCGTGAGAGACTTTGGGGTCAAGATTACAAATGGGGACAAGGCTCTGTGGGATGCTGTGACATCAGGGAAGGGGACCCAGCCCCACACCTGGACCTCCTGCCCACTCAGAGGCAGGCTCTGGAGGAAGGGAACCTGGGAAGTTGAGTGTCCGTGGGCTCTTGTGAGAGTTTCAATGAGGACCCGGTGACACTTCATGACTGACCTTGAGTATAGCCCACGGCACGACACGCCCGTAGGAACCAGCACTCACACATGACACCAAGTTACACACGTGTGCTTGCACATGTACACACCTTCTTTGCTCTTAGCTCTGGGGCTTGCTGACCCCTTCTGAAGACGGCCCTGGACTTGCCCCATCTGCTGTGTGCAGCCACTCAGGAGAGAGATGAGCTGAAGCTCCTCCCCATTATGGGCCCTGACCCCCAGAGGCCAGGACTTCCAACATGGTCCCCTCAGCCTTCTTACTTTAGAACCTTTGGGCCCCCCACTTCCGTGTGTGTGTGTGTGTGTGTGTGTGTGTGGGCAGAGGCTGGTGACCAGCATGGTTGAGGGGCAGTTCAGGTCAGTTGGAGGATGTGGCCCTCCATCAGCTCCTGAAACTCCCCTCAGAAACCCGGGAGGACCGGACGAAGCGCCTTTTCCGCCACTACACAGTGGGCTCCTATGACAGTCTCACTTCACACAGGTACAGGTCGGGGGGCAGGTGGGCAAGGGTAGGCGTGCATGCGGATGGGACATCAGGTATGGAGGGAGGACAAAAGCTGGTCGAGGAGGCCTGGGGATGAAGAGGGCAGAGGAGGGCAGGTGATACCCAGCCCACCTCTGTCTTCTGCCTTCCTGCGTCGGTCCAAGGGCAACTTCCCGGGGTGGGCTGTGCCCGGGGGGTCCTGTTTGGGGCACACATAGGGTCAGCCTGGCCAGCTGTGCTCTCTGGCGGGGCTCTCCTCACGCCTCCCTGCTTTCCTCCACCAGTGATTATGTCATTGACGACAAGGTGGCTGTCCTGCAGAAACGGGACCATGAGGGCTTTGGTTTTGTGCTCCGGGGAGCCAAAGGTAACGAGGGGTAGGCGCACCATGAGTGTGTGTGGGGCTGGGGTGTCAGGCTGGCAGCGGCTGCACCCTGCTCAGGTGTGTCTTGTCTCTGCTCCTCCTTGCTGCTCTCCTTGCTGCCTCCCCCCTGCCCTGCAGCCTTGCCGCTATCCCTCACCCCGCCCCGTCCTTTGCCCCTGCCTCCCCCTTGCCCTCCAGCTTCACCCTTTTATCCTGCCTTGCCCCTGCCCTGTCCTTTGCCCCTTCCTCCCCCACTCCCTCTCTCCCTGCTAGTTTGGCCCCTCTTCCCCTGCCTTGCCCCTGACACTCTCTTTTTCTGGCCCCACCCTGCCTTGCCCCTCTGCTCTGACTATATTCTTGGCTTGGAATGTCTCAGTACAAGGCAGTAGTCTCTTCGCCCTGATGATTTCCAAGATCTCTGCTGGAGTGTGTCTAATGGAATGGGAGTTCTCTCTGGTGGGGCTGAGGGAGGATTTCTACCCTGGGCAGCCCCAGGACCTCCGGCCTCAATTGTCCTTGGTTCAGCGTGTTGAACCACTTGTGGGAGGTTGCTGTGTGGCAGCTTCTTCCACCTGGACCGTGCTGGTGAAGCACCTTCCTAACTGCCCTCCCCCCGCCCCCCCGCAGCAGAGACCCCCATCGAGGAGTTTACACCCACACCAGCCTTCCCTGCGCTCCAGTATCTTGAGTCGGTGGATGTGGAGGGTGTGGCCTGGAGGGCCGGGCTGCGCACAGGAGACTTCCTCATCGAGGTGAGGCTCGTCCTTACCTGTGCAGCAGGTGGGGTGCTGACCTCTAAATCCTGAGGAGGACACACTTGGAACGTCCCCACCACCCACCTGTCTGTCCCAGGTGAACGGGGTGAACGTGGTGAAGGTCGGGCACAAGCAGGTGGTGGCTCTGATCCGCCAGGGCGGGAACCGCCTCGTCATGAAGGTTGTGTCTGTGACAAGGAAGCCGGAAGAAGATGGGGCTCGGCGCAGAGGTGAGGGGCCAGGCTTCAGACCTCTGTGCTCAGACATTCCCCTCTGACTCCTGACCTTAGACCTTTGACCCCAGGCCCCCGTTCCTCTCCCCGCCCCCTGACCCCAGACTGTTGACGTCAGATGCCTAACTGTAGGTGAAGTGTCCACATTCATGGCCTGGGTGCCTTCCCAGTCCCTGATGTTAGGCTGCCCACCCTGGCCCCCAGCCTCTGACCCCTGACCCCAGGTTGCCCCTCCTCAGACCCCCACCCCCTCCTTCCCGGCGTCCCCCCCAGCCCCTGGCGTGGAAGAGCCCTCCTTCCCGACACTGCCGGCAGCTGCCTGGAGGCCGGGGTTGCCATAGCAACTGTGAGGTTGACGCTGCCGCGGCTTATTGTCGGAGGGAAGGGGGAGGCGGCACCTGAGGGAAGAGGAAAAGCGTCTTCTCCCCGCGACGTCGCCGCACAGCCGGGCCGGGAGGCTCTGCCAGCTTGGGCCAGCCCAGCCCAGGTCCTGGCTCTGCCGACCACACCCCGGTCCCCCCAGGGGCAGTGGCTGCCAGGGCCTGGGGAAGCCCTGGGGGAGCAGGAGCCCAGCCTGCCGGGCGACCCCTCCCAGCCCCCACCTCATGGCTCTGGGGCCCCCTGCTCAGCCCTCGGCCGACAGGGTGGGCACTCGGGCAGGAGCTGGCCGGCACCGTGACCCCCCCAGGGGCCCTTGACCACCTCCCTCCTGAGGCCCCAACCACCCTGGCCCCGCGGGGCCCTCAGCACCCCCCGCGCTCCCAGCGCCATGAAGAAGTTTGCATCCAGCCGCAGCCTGAACAAGATCCTGGCCCAGTGCGACGCATCCTCCCGGGAGTACGAGGAGATCCAGGCGGTAGAGCGCAAGTGGCACCTTCACCTGGCCACGCCGCGCTGCCTGCTGCTGGACAGGAGGTCCAAGGCCTCCCTCTTCTTTGCAGCCCCGCCGCCCCCCAAGAGGGCCCCCAGCACCACGCTGACCCTGCGCTCCAAGTCCATGACGGCCGAACTTGAGGAACTTGGTGAGCAGCAGGCGTGGGCAGTGGGCAGACAGCCTAGGGGGGAAGCCAGGCGGTGTGAGCTGGGGCCAAAGCCAGGCAGAAACTCTGGGGGCGGGGAGAAGGGAAGGACAGACAGACAGACATATGAAGGTGTGGTAGGGAGGCCAAAGGTGAATGGGTGGGTGCTGAACTGGTGCGGGGGGGATGACACATGGATGGCTTGAGGGCCGGAGATGGTCAGGGAGCAGGCCCTGGCCGTCCAGTGTGTTTGCCTGCACGTGCGCCTGCTGCTCTGGCTCTGCACACCTCCAGGTGGACTTTACCCCTTCATTTCACCCAAGTGAGGACAGAGCAGGAGTCGGGGGACCTGGGCTCTGCCCTGGCTTTGCTGGCGCCAGCTGTGTGACCTTTATGCTTGTTTTTGCCTCCTTAGCACCTGTTCACTCATCAGTTAAGCAGGGGTTACAGTGAGCTGCTGACCTGACAGGGCTGTGTGAACATCGCTAGCATGATGATGGGATAGGCCCTCGTGAGCTCCAAGAGGCAAATAAGAGTGTGTCAGGGCTTTGATGGGGCATGATGTGGGCATGATCCCAGGGTGACCCCCAATAGCCTCATTGTGGGCATGTCTTGATATATGTGACCATTAATAGCCTCATCATAGGCATGTCCAGATATACATGACCGTGTCCTGACATATGTGGCAGTTGACATTGGGCATGTCCCGATAGACATGCCTGCTAACATGCTCTATCTTCCTGTAATTCAAACCCAGTTCTAGTCCCAGACTTTACGATGCTCTAGCCATGGAAGGAAGGCAGACTCTGGTCCTAGGCTGAGTTCTGACCTAGTCCTGGCCACAGGAGCGGCTCTGGTCCTGGTTCTAGACTGAGCCTCAGCCCGGGCTTCAGGCTTTGTTCTTCCCCAGCCATAGAAAGAACACTTAGCTGTCCCCCAAAATTATTGCTGACCTTACTAAGAGAGTGATCCTTGACCTCGTCCTGGCCACAGGTTGAGCCACCCCCCTTCCAAGCAGGTACTCTTGACTGCAGTGTAGGAGGAGGAGGACAGCCACCAAGATAGACCAGATTGACATAGTCATACTTCTCTTGCCCATAAATACTCTGAATAAAGTAAAAGTCAAAAATAGATAGCCAACTCAAAACAAAGGAAGAGGAATTTCCCAGGTCTCAAGAATAAAGAGAGGAATCAGTTAAGAAAGTGAGAGGAAGCTGATGATGCTTCCATAGTCCAAGGGGGCTTGGGACAGTATATAGACCCTAAGGGCAGGGTTTGGGGCTCTGATGCTTCCACAAAGCCAAGAGTGGTGGCTGTAGACCCATGAGAAGTGGGAAAACTAGAACCAAGCCCAAGGACTGGCATTAGCATCAAAACCCCCCCTGGAAATCATAGAAGAATAAGAAAGGCACAAAATGAGGTGTTTAAATACAACGTTTAAGGAAGTAACAGAACTCATAAAGGACAGCCCTTTATGACAGCCGATAAAGGACAGTACCCCCCACAAAATAAAGAATAAGGAGATTTTAAAAGGATCCCTAAAGAACTGTTACTAAAACAAAAAGTATAGTCACTGAGATTAAAAAATCCATGATTGAGATAAACAGTACACTAGACTCAGTGGAAGAAAGAAATAGTGAATTAGAAGATAATTCTGAGGAAATTACCCAAAATGTAGCACAGAAAGATAGGGAGACACAAACTATCAAAGAGCAGATAAGACATGATGAAGGACAAGTGAGAAAATCCCAGTCTAATGAGAGTTCCAGAGGGAAAGAATGAACTGATTGGGGAAGAGGCAATATATGAAGAGTAAATGGCTAAGAATTTTCTGAAATTGAACAAGGACATGAAATTCCATTTTGAAGAAGTATGAGTTCCAAGGAAGGAAATAAAAACAAATCTACATCTAGACCTTCATACTAAAACTTCATGACACCATAGACAAAAGAAAAATCTTAACTACCAAAGAAGCTGGATGATTTAGAAAGGAACAATGGACAGCAGACTTCTCATCAGCAGTAGTAGATGCTAGAAGACAATGGAAACATAACTTAAAAGTCTCGAATCAAAATGCTTTTCTACCTAGAATTCTATACCTAGCTAACCCTGCTCATTGAAGAGTGAGGCAGAGAAATCAGCAGACTTCTGGCCCCAGGGTCACAAGGGTCCAAGGCTAACCATGGGCAGCTGATCCACCATACTGATTGAGGATTCAGACTGGTCAATAAACCAGTACCAGTAGGCAGCTGGGTCTGGCTAGACACCAGACCAAGGCTCTGGTGGGTGGGTTCCAGGAGTTCCTTCCAGAGGCTGTCACATAGCCATGTTCAGCTACATGTTCAGAAGGGACCCTCCTAGTTCTGCGCAAAGAGGTGCGTGGGCATCCAGGGACCAGGGGACAGAGACCTGTGGAAACAGAATTGCCTTCTGCTTCCTGGGATGCTTCTATCTGAAGAAACCAGTGAGTAGAAGAGCCTCCTTCCTCGCTGCACTGGTCTGGGGTGCTCCTGCTGCTGTGTGACCGGGTTGTTCTGCACACCCTTGTCTTCTTGAGGGGCTCACTCTTGCTGCCTCAGGTCAGCATTGTTTCCACCAGTTTTTACCTGAACAGAGGCTGGGGGAGGACAGAGGGACAGCTTAGCACAGAGCCTCCATCCGTACTGCTGAGTGAGGAGGGGTCATAGCTTTTGTTGAAGCTGGACCCAGACTCTTTATGTAGCTCCATTCAGACAGGAAGAAGCCACTGCTGCCTCCAGAGGATTGCTGTCCTGGGAAGCCAGACCACTGGCTGACTTTCTCTAGGGTTGAGGGAGCCGGGCCAGCATCAGGGTTTCCCCAGGCACCTAAGGGATCATCCCACGATCCAGCATTTGTGCTTTTATAAGACAGAAATTAGACCTGTGGGTTTATTGACAGCAGAACATGTCAGTTCTCTGTCACATTGTTGAGAAGGGCTAGAGCCTGTTAGGATGCTGTAGTCTATTGAGAAGATGATCCGAACATATGGAAAGAAAGGCAAGTGTGAGACCACAGAAAAAGCAGGTGGCAAGGGTTGGGGCTTATGCCCAGATGGTTGCTTGCTACTCAGGGAGAAGCCAGGTCCTGCAGGAGAAAGACGAGGTAAAGAGCGTCCTGGTGGGGGATGGTGTGAACAGATGCGATGCCCAGAAAATGAAGGCCTGAAGTGGCTGACAGAAATGGGATTGAGAGGAACAGGTTGGGATAGGAGCCCTCATCCTGAGTCAGGTGGCGGGAGGAGGAGGAAGGGTGGGACACTCCCAGTGCCTTTCAGCATGGGGTGCTCTTTGTGGTCACCATGTGTTCATCTGCTTGAACCAATAATGTGCTGGGGCTTCAGAGATCAGTGGAGACTCAGGCCAGGGAGGGGCCTTGGTGGGTCTGAGCCCCTCCTGTTCATCTGTTTTCCCATGAAAAGTCTGGAACTTTTGGGTCCCTTTTCTTTTGTGATGAGAATGTCGGGGCAGGTGCCATGCCAGTGTGTGGTCCCTGATTGGCTGTCTGGCAAACACACTGACCTGCCCTTTGTTGGAAACACAGTGCACAGAATACTCAAGGGTGACCACTGAAGTTATTAGTAGCCTCTGAACTTGTTTTTTTTGGGGGGGGGGGGTTGTCTTTTTTTTGAACAAAGAGTTGATTGAACCAAGTATGATTTAGTTGTGTGTGGACATCTCCAGATGTGTGTGCATGTCTGTGTGCATGAGCACATTTATGCACGTGTGTATGTTTGTGTGTGTGTGTGTGTGTGCACGTGCTTGGATATGCATGCACACGAACACTTGTGTCTGCTTGTGGTTGTTTCCACCTTGAGTTTCAAGCCATGTACCAACTTGGCATTTGGGCACATTTGCCACTCAGGGTCTGATAGGGAAGTATAGGCCAGGGGTTGTAGGGGATCTGGGAGGTCCTGATTGTTGGGAGGGGTGGGAAGTGGGAAAGATGGGGAAACGGGAGTGGGAAGCGGGCCCAGATGCCGAGGGTTGAAGCCTGCCTCTTACCCCCTTTGCTCTGTTTCTTGATTGCAAGCCTCCATTCGGAGAAGGAAAGGGGGTGAGTCATCTGCTGGGTCCCCAGGCCCCCAGCTTTACCTGATCCCTGCCTAGGGAAATGCTGATGTGTGAGGAGGTTCCATTTTAAGTCAGGGTGGTCTAGAAGCCTGGGCTGTACCTTCCTGTTGGCCTTCTCCCTGGGAATCTGGTGTGGGCATGGTAGAGGGAGCTGGGGAAGGACAGATGGGGAGTTCCCAGGGGTGTGGCTATGTGGGGGTGTGATAGTGAGGCACAGCCATGGGCTCTGGGGACTCAGGTGAGTAGGGGTGGGGTGGGGTGTGAGGGCCACTGAGGCAGCCTGATGAGGCAGAGCTGGGAGGGCCTCCCAGTGGAGGCCATAGCATGTGCCATGTCCTGGAGCTAGGTAGGGGAAGGGTTCAGAGGGTTCGGCTGTGGGTCTCCTCAGGGAGCATGGTGACTGGGCCAGTGGGGGCAGGAGCACTGGTTGCTCAGCTGCAGCCCATGGTGCTCCTTTCTGCCTGTTTTCTGGGGCTCCTTGTGCCTGGTGTGTGGGTCCGTTTCTGTACTGACCTGTTGTAGGGTCAAGCCCAGTGCTGATGACCATCCCTTTGGAGCAGGGGTCTGGGCCCCATAGCACTGGGGAGGGAGCTTGGAGCTCCTCTGCCCAACATAGCCCAGGCTGTTGACTTCACCACCCCTGCTCCTTTCTTCAGGCCTCATCTGTATCCTGTGAGGCTCCTTCCTGTGTGTTCTGTGTGTCCAGCCTTGCTGTAAGCAATGCAGCCTCCATGTGGGGACAGAGTCTGAGGTCCAGCATCTGGTGAGATCTCAGGGCCTGGCCTCCGCCAGCTTCCTCCATCTCTGAGTGGACAGGGGACTCTTTTTTGGCTAAATAGGAGTCAGAGCCAGATGGAAGCCTGAGATGGCTTTGTGGCCCCAGGCGGGTGTGTTCACTCTCTTGTCTGTGTGCCTGGGGCCCACCCATCCCTCACTGTGGGATCCACAGGGCCCTCCCTATGCCGGGGACATGCTGGCCCCATCTGTCTGGGCCTAGGCTCTCCAGCATGGCCTGCAGTCTTACCCTCAGAGTTTTCCCATTGCTCCTTGCCCCAGTCCCAGGCGAGGTGCTTTCCCCAGTGTCTTTTCAGGGATTAAAACTGGGTGTCCTCTAGGGACACTTTTCTTCACCCTATGAGGCAGACACACAAGCGATTTCTGGAGTATTTTGGTTCTGTCGCTTAGCTCATTAGCAGGGCTCCCAGGGTGCTATGTAGTGACCTGCGCACTTCTTCCAGTTGTAGGGGAAGTGACGGACAGTTCATCACCCCTGTGGCCCGTCATTCCTGCTTGGGTTCTGGTTGTTTAAGCAGCTGCACCCCGAGCTGTGTCCCCACCGCATATGGAGTCTTGAGAGCTGGTGTATGTGAGGCTGAGGGGAGTGTGTAGTTCCCAGTGCCCCAGACCTGGTTCCTAATGGGCTTCATTTTCTTTTTTAAGTATCTAAAATAATTTATTTAAGAATGTATTTTCTAATAATGGTGGGGATTGTTGTCAACCTCACCAGCTTGTAGTTTGCAGAATTCTTGCTTCTTTCCCTTTTGGAAATAATTCTTGCCTGGCCCCAGCAACCCCCCCACCCCATGTCCAACAACATTTGCTTTGCTAACTTCATGTACACACTGCTTTGGTTTCTGGGATTGAGTTCTTCTGGACCTAGAGATGCAGCTTCTAAAATCCGCAGCTCAGGTGAGCGCATGCCCTGTGGAAATGTTTCTTCTCTGCTCATGTCTTTATGTCTGCGGTTTCTAGATAACATGGTTGTTAAGTCTGATCTTTTACTTATTGGATCTATGATCTGGAGCGCTTTATCTCAGAGCTTCAGTTTCTTCTTGGGTAAAATGAGGGCAGTATCAGCATCTTCTTTGTATGATTTTGAGGGATGAGAGAAGGGTCATGGGAAGCTCTTCTAACCGGAAGTCACCAAGGACTGAACATAGGGTGGTGATGGTGGCTTCAGCTTCCAAAGGGAAATCATTTGCTTCATTACAAAAACAAGGGTGACGACCTCTCTAACGAGCCCTCGCAGTGGTGCTGGGAGCCAGGCACAGGACCTGTGAGCTAATCTGTAGGTGGAGCAGGTTCTGCTGATGAGTTGTAACCTTTGTTGAACTGTATTATTCAGGGCCCCAGGCTGGACACTCAGGACATTCTGGGAGCCTGTAGGCTCTTTGGGGAGATGAGGTGCAGTGTGCCTTCAGCGCTAACCCTGAGCAGGGCAGAACTATAGCACTTCTTATGTCCGTGTCGGTTCTTACAACAGACACTGAAGCAGCTGCTGTTTTTCTGCTCGCTTTGTCAGATAAGGAAACTGAGGCACAGAGAGGTTAAGTCAGGACAGAGTCGGTGTGCGGTGTGGGTCTGGTCTGGGTTGGGTGCCGGCCAGCTGGGAGGAGCGGACTTCTTTCCCCATGGCGATTGCTGAGTGGGTTGTGGAGGAAGAGACAGGAGGTGCTGGTGGGAGGTGGTGGGGCTGACCATGTCCTCTGACAGGCGCCAATTATGAGAGGCCAAGCATGACCAGACGCATGGTCCTCTAGGCTTGGCACTCAGAGCCTGGGTGATGAGGGGGGTGAGGTGGGGCTACTGGGGGTACAGGAGCTGGCCCCAACCCCTACTGCACTCTACATGCTGGGCCTGAGGGCACCACCCCAGTCATGCAGGCAGAGCTGCTCGTTCTCAGACACACGTGTTTAACAAGATTTCCAAGTCATGTTGATAAGCAAAAACACCACCTTTAAAAACATTGAAGGGCTTTAATAAAAACAAGCAAACAGCTTTTCTTTATGATGGATTTGAACGCTGTCTGAGGCCCCCCTTCTTGGGCCTTGTTGTCCGTCAGCCCCTCTTCCTTACCTTCTTCCCACAGGGCTGGTGGAAGCCCCTTCAGCACCAGCCCTCCCAATATCTTCCTCTTTTCTCCACACCTCCCACCCAGGGTGGAGCTGCTTTTCTGGGGTGAAGGTTCTTTGGCCTCCTAGTCTGCATTAGGGCCTTTTTTTTTTAGTTCCCTAGCCTGGGACTGTGAGTTCTGTTTTCAGAAGGATCCCCTGTTCACTCATTCCTGACTTACTTGCATCTTTTATGGGCACCTGCTGTACACCAGGGTTTGTCCTCGGGCTGTGGCCCCCAGGAACAGCAGGGCCACAGACAGACGAGAAATGCCAGGTGCTGAGGAGAAGAGGGAGACAAATTCAGGAAGACTCCGGGCTCCAAGCAGTGCTGTCCCTCCCCTGGTCCTCTCCCTAATGGTCAGTCAGGCTTTTCCTGGAGTGGGGCTCCAGGGGGTGACCTGGACCAGCCCCCGAGGACAGAGAGGCCATAGGACTCAGATGGGATGCATGTTGCTTGGCTCCCAGTCTCCCCAGTCTCGGGTCTGGAGGAAGGGATATGGGGTGGGCGGGGTCCACTGGCTCCATTAGCAGCACCAGGTGGACCAGCCTTGCAGGGAGGTCTCAGCAGTGGGGCTACACAGGGATGGAGCAGGTTAGGGTCCAGGTGGCTGAGATGGTGCCTCCCTTGGCTGTGCAGAGAAACTGGATGAGATCCTGGCAGCCGCCGCGGAGCCTACACTGAGGCCAGACATCGCAGATGCCGACTCAAGAGCCGCCACGGTCAAACAGCGGCCCACAAGTCGGAGGATCACCCCTGCTGAGATCAGTGTAAGTCATCCCAACAGCTGGGGGGCACAGGGAGTGGGGAGGCAGGGGGAGCATGGGGGTCGGAGTTCCATGTCTCTTGCTGGGTGTGTGTACATTTTTCTGGGGTGGAAGTCCATCATTTGGACCCTACTCTCCAGGGGTGGGGGTGAAAGACCCCGTGGCTTCTCCTCTCACACGTGGGGAAATCTTAGCCCCCAGAATGGCCACAGCTGAACATAATGCCGAGTGTTCACTGCTCTGGCTGTGGGTTTCAGTACCTCCTGCAGAGCCACACCCAGGACCACCTAGAGCACCCCAGCCCTGTGGAGGGTACAACTTGCTCTCTGTTCCCCTGCCATTCCTCTCCCTTGGCATCTTCTGGGCTACTCCCGGAGCCTCATCCACATCAACCCTATCCAGTGCTCTATGCCCAGGCCCCCACTGGCTGTGCCCCTGCTCCCTGGAGACCTCAGGGCCTGGGTCTGAGTCCTGGGTCAGGCCCCATTGGTGCCATTGGAATTAGTGCATGGGGTGTTTGATCTCAGGCTTAGGAGGATGGCTGGGGCTGGATGGAGAACTGGGAGCCCCAGTGTCCCAGAACCTCCGTATAACCCCCCAACTCCCACAGTCTTTGTTTGAGCGCCAGGGCCTCCCAGGCCCAGAGAAGCTGCCCGGCTCCCTGCGGAAGGGGATTCCACGGACCAAGTCTGTAGGTACGGCTGGGTTGGGGGCTGCATGGGGCCGGAAGGAATGGGGCTGGGGCTGGGGTGGATGTGGGGCTGGAGGACCCTGTCTCTCCCAACCCTTCAGCTGGGGTTTCCAGTTTCCCTCTGAGAACTGCCTCTCCCAGGTCACAGCCCAGGATTCTCCTTGTTTGTGGACATATGTGGGGTCAGTCCTTCCCCCAGTCCAGAGACACTGTCCCTAAAAGAGACCCTTGAGGCTTCCTTACTCCATCCATTGCTCCCTATCCAGAGTGCAACTCCTATCCACCGCTCCCCGTCCAGTGTGCGCACCCCCATCCACCACTCCCTGTCTAGTTGCGTGCCCCCCATGCACCACACTCCCCATCCAGTGTGCATGTCCCCCCATCCACCGCTCACCGTCCAGTGTGTGCCCCCTCTTCCACTCCTCTTGTCCAGTGGTGCCACCTTCCTGTACCTTCCATAGATGCCAGCATCCCTGTCCCTGGGTGGTCTCCGATCCTGGCTGCTCCATCTGTAGAGTGAATAAATGTCAAGTTTCTAACCCTAGACTTACCTTCCCTTGAACCTGCCTGCCCCCTGCCCCAGGTATTGCTCTGTATCTCTCTTCTCCTTCACAGCCAGTTTTCTCCAGAAGCCACATATACTTGTTGTCTCCTGTCCCCAAACTGCTCCTCAGCCTGGGGCAGGCTAGCTCCATCCATATCTAAAACAAATTGCTCCCACCAGGGCCACCAGTGGTTTCCAGGGTATTCCTTCCAGTGAACACATGACCAGTCCCTCTCTAACCTCAAATGGCATTTGATTTTTCTGTTCCCTCCTCCATGACGCTCAATTCCCCAGGGCTTTAGGACAACATTTCTTGGTTCTTCCCTCAGTTCTCAGGCTGTACCTGTTCTATCTTTAATGCCCCCCCTCCCAAAACACACGTACCACACCAAATGTGGGTACTTCTAAAGGCTGTGTCCTTAATCTCTTTGCCTTCTGCACCTATCTCCTTGGGACATCATCATGCCCCACCACTGCTGTCATACCCCACACTTAGCCATCTCTCTTGACTGGGTCATCTCACAAGCCCCACCCACTGCTCATCGCTCTAGGCATCTAGTCCCTCCTCACCTGCCCACCTATCCATCCATTCACCTACAGACTTTCCACTTGTCCATCCTTCTATCCATGTACACCCCACCACACCCATTGTCTGTTCATCATCAGAGTAAACACTTACTTAGCACTTACTAGAACACTGTGTTTTATGCACACTGGTTCACTTAAGGTTTTAGTAATCCTGTTGAGGTAATACTATTAGTACCTCTCTATTACAGATGAGGAAACAGGTAAAGAGGTAAAATGACTTGCCCAAGGTCACACAGCTGCCTTACCTGTCTTCTGGTAAGACATCAGGCCAGCCAACTGCCCAGGCCTGGCCAAAGGGGGCTTTCTGCAGAGCAAATATCACCCTATGTCCCTCCGGTTGATCCGCAGTAGGCTCTTCATTGCCTTGGGTTCCTGTGGACCGGCTTCAGATTTTTCCTACTTCATCTGGGGACATCTGTCTCCGTTTCACTCTTACCTGGGTGTACCAGAATTTGCTATTCTGCACTTGCCCTCACTCTGCCCAGATGGCCTGTCCCTCAGCCTAGCCCAGTGCCAGGACTGACCACCACAGGTCCAGATCTCAGTGCTTGCCCTGCAGGATGTGAGCCTCTTGGTGGAGATTCCTCCTGGACCCTCCTATGCTCAGTCCATGAGTGAGTGAGAGGGGTTGATCTTTAGTTTTCTTGCCCTGGCCTGCTGCTCAACACCAACATGTTGGCTGAGGTGTCGGATTCCCAGGGTTCTCACCCCTTGTGGTCCTGGGCACATGATTCAGTCCTTGAAACCTCAGGGTCCTGATCCATAACTTGAGGACTATCTAGTGCCTGCCTTCAAGGCTATTCTGAGGCTGACCCAGTGGGCTGTACTCACAGGCTGAGGACAGGCAACATCTCCTGATATTGTTGGTAGACACAGGTTCTGCATCTTGAATCTGGCTCACAGTAAATGTTTGAGAAATGCTTGCTACTATTTGTTGGGCAGAAGGGCCCACCTCACCTTGGCTGATAACAGAACAGATTCCCCATTTCATCCCAGACAAGTGACTTGTCTTCACCCTAAGTTAGAATCTGGCATGCCAAATCTGCATCTTCTAGGAGCACAAGCTTTTCCCATGGAGTTCTCTTCTGCCTCACACGTGGGCTTATGGGTGCTCAGCAGGTGTTTATATGCTACACAGTAAATGCAGTGGGGAGGAAACCCAGAATGAACTCGGCACAAATTTCTGTGTCCAGTGGTGGGGGTGGAAGCAGACCTAAAAATGATGATGATGAATGATGATCTCAGCCTCCTTACTGGGATGCTTCTAGGTGCTCAGCCCTGTGCTGTAGGCTTTAAATGGCTCCAGCTCTGGCAGCCCCCCAACAGGGGCCAGCATTTCTCCTGAGATTAGGAAACTGACATGCCAAGAGGTTAAGGATCAGACAGTAACTGCTAATGCTGGAGTTCAAACCTCAGTCTTCCCATGAAAGCCCACCTTTGCTGTGCCCGGGGTACAAGAGCTGTCATGCAGGACAAGATGTAAACAGTGCAGTGTGGGAGGCCTGAGCTGACCACCTCAGTGGCTAAAGGAGGGGGTGGCTGGGAACAGGCCATCTACACTTTAGTAAGTTCATAAAAATGTGACCAAGCACAGAGTGAAGCCACGAATCAGTGTAGATTTCCAAGGCACTCTACCAGAGACCTGTGTGTGTCAACATGGAAGGGCCATTCATCCACTCTCCTGGGACTGGGTAACACTTGCAGCCTAAGAACACACCTATATGGCATAGATGTCCATACCGTGTCCACAAGGACACTTGGGAGGTCTTGCCGGGTTCTAGCCAGGCAGCAGGACAGTGAGGGCCCTGAGCATTCCAGCCCCACTCTTGCACAGACCCTAATGCTTGCACATTGAGGCAGGCAGAATGGGTATCGTTTTAAGACTATGTTACCCATGAGATAATGGAGTTTCAGAGGGGCTCAGGGCCTGGCCTGGGGTCACACAGCCAATAGGGAGTAAAACTAAAACATGCATCAGGTGCTTAGTCTAAAATTCCATTTTAATTCTTCCTCCTTCCTTTTCACCCAACCTTACTGAAATTCAGCCACTAAGGTTACAACAGTGACCAGGCAGGGTCTCCCAGTCAGTCCATTTGGGTCTCTGGGATGGAGCATCTCGGGGCTTATCTTTTCACAGAGCACCTTCTCACCTGGGCACCAGCTCTCTTTGTGCCAGATGCATGGCTCAAGTGGCCACAGTCCTGCTGCCCCTTTGACTATAGTCATTGTATCACTCCTCCCTTCCTCCCATCTCTGGTTGCCACCAGGGAGCTCCCAGCAACATCTGCTTGTTCCACTGTTGTGATGTGGCCTTGCTCAGTCTTGGGTGGAAGCCCTGCACCAGCCACCTACCTCTTCTCGGCAGTTCTGTCTTCACGACTGGGGATCCTTCTTTGGGCCCTCTCAGTGTGGTGGGGCTTGGGCAGGTCTTGGCCCCAACCCGGTATACCTGTCAGAGTTTGGGTCCTTTCTCAGTCTGTTGGTGGAGCCCTCCTCTACCTTGTATCTGAACTAATACCTTTCCCCAAGTCTTCCCAAGAGCCCTCCCAACCCAGCACCAGGCTTGGGGTACAGAGCCTGGGTGTCCAGAGAGGAGCCCAGGCTGGGGGCCTTGCTCAGATTCTATGCCCTGGGCTCCGCGCCTCCTCTTTTGCTCTCCAACCCCAGCCTCCATGCCCTCCTTGACCCCGTCCTCCCAGTCTGGTTGGCGCTTCCCGCCAATTTCTAAGGGGTTGTCTTTGCAACCCTTGCATCTGGGACCATGGCTGCTCTCTGCAGAGGGCGGGCGCTAGAGTCTGCAAGGGCCTGGTCTCACTGGATCCCCTCTATCCACAGGGGAGGATGAAAAGCTGGCGTCCCTGCTGGAGGGACGCTTCCCGAGGAGCACATCAATGCAAGATCCAGTGCGCGAGGGCCGTGGCATCCCGCCCCCGCCGCAGACCGCGCCGCCACCCCCCCCTGCTCCCTACTACTTCGACTCCGGGCCGCCCCCCGCCTTCTCGCCGCCGCCCCCTCCAGGCCGCGCCTACGACACGGTGCGCTCCAGCTTCAAACCCGGCCTGGAAGCGCGCCTGGGCGCTGGGGCCGCAGGCCTGTATGATTCCGGCTCGCCCCTGGGTCCACTGCCCTACCCCGAGCGGCAGAAGCGTGCGCGTTCCATGATCATCCTGCAGGATTCTGCGCCAGAGGTGGGCGACGTCCCCCGGCCCCCTCCCGCAGCCACCCCACCAGAGCGTCCCAAGCGTCGGCCTCGGCCGCCGGGTCCCGACAGTCCCTACGCCAACCTGGGCGCCTTCAGCGCCAGCATCTTCGCGCCTTCCAAGCCTCAGCGCCGCAAGAGCCCGCTGGTGAAGCAGCTGCAGGTGGAAGATGCTCAGGAGCGCGCAGCCCTGGCTGTGGGCAGCCCTGGCCCAGTCGGCGGCAGCTTCGCCCGCGAGCCCTCCCCGACGCACCGTGGACCTCGGCCAAGCGGTCTCGACTACGGCCCTGCGGACAGCCCCGGCCTCACGTTTGGTGGCCCAGGTCCAGGCAAGGACCGGCGGCTGGAGGAGCGGCGCCGCTCCACCGTGTTCCTCTCGGTGGGAGCCATCGAGGGCAGCCCTCCTAGTGCGGAACTGCCCTCCCTGCAGCCCTCCCGCTCCATCGATGAGCGCCTTCTGGGGACCGGCCCCACCACTGGCCGTGACCTGCTCCTGCCCTCCCCCGTCTCTGCTCTGAAGCCGTTGGTCAGCGGCCCAAGCCTTGGGCCTTCAGGCTCCACCTTCATCCACCCGCTCACCGGCAAACCTCTGGACCCCAGCTCCCCCCTGGCCCTCGCCCTGGCTGCCCGTGAACGGGCTCTGGCCTCCCAGGCGCCCTCCCGGTCCCCTACGCCAGTGCACAGCCCTGACGCTGACCGCCCTGGGCCTCTGTTTGTGGATGTACAGGCCCGCGACTCTGAGCGAGGGGCCCTGGCCTCCCCAGCCTTCTCCCCAAGGAGCCCAGCCTGGGTTCCTGTGCCTGCTCGCAGGGAGCCGGAGAAAGCACCCCGGGAGGAGCGTAAGTCGCCGGAGGACAAGAAGTCCATGATCCTCAGCGTCCTGGACACGTCCCTGCAGCGGCCAGCTGGCCTCATCGTCGTGCACGCCACCAGCAATGGGCAGGAGCCCAGCAGTCTGGGGGCTGAAGAGGAGCGTCCGGGCACCCCAGAGCTGGCCCCGGCCCCCACACAGTCAGCAGTGGTGGCGGAGCCCCTGGCCAGTCCCCGGGCCCAGCCCCCTGGCAGCACCCCGCCAACAGACCCTGGGCCCGGCCAGGGCAGCTCGGAGGAGGAGCCAGAGCTGGTATTTGCTGTGAACTTGCCGCCTGCCCAGCTGTCCTCCAGTGATGAGGAGACCAGGGAGGAGCTGGCCCGCATTGGGCTGGTGCCACCTCCTGAAGAGTTTGCCAACGGTGTCCTGCTGGCCACCCCACTTCCTGGCCCAGGTCCCTCGCCCACCACGGTGCCAGGCCCGGCCTCAGGGAAGCCGAGCAGCCAGCCACCCCCTGCCCCTGAGTCTGCGGCTGACTCAGGGGTGGAGGAGGCTGACACACGCAGCTCTAGCGACCCCCACCTGGAGACCACGAGCACTATCTCCACGGTGTCCAGCATGTCCACCCTGAGCTCGGAGAGTGGGGAGCTCACCGACACTCACACCTCCTTCGCCGATGGACACACTTTTCTACTCGAGAAGCCACCAGTGCCTCCCAAGCCCAAGCTCAAGTCCCCGCTGGGGAAGGGGCCGGTGACCTTCAGGGACCCGCTGCTGAAGCAGTCCTCGGACAGTGAGCTCATGGCCCAGCAGCACCATGCCGCCTCTGCTGGGCTGGCCTCCGCTGCTGGACCTGCTCGCCCTCGCTACCTCTTCCAGAGAAGGTCCAAGCTGTGGGGGGACCCCGTGGAGAGCCGGGGGCTCCCTGGGCCCGAAGATGACAAACCAACTGTGATCAGTGAGCTCAGCTCCCGCCTGCAGCAGCTGAACAAAGACACACGCTCCTTGGGGGAAGAGCCGGTTGGTGGCCTGGGCGGTCTGCTGGACCCTGCCAAGAAGTCGCCCATCGCGGCAGCTCGGTGAGCAGGGCAGTGTGGGGAGGGTCCTGTCCCATGTCCATGGCCCCATGTGTTCTTCCTCTTGTGCATCCACAGTTTCCTCTGTTCTTCCTCCACAGTCCATTCTATCCCATTCCTTACCTGTCCATGGCATCCCTCCCTGTCCACTTCTGTCCTTTTTATTCGCCCTTGCTGTCTGTCTGAGACAGAAGTCTCTCTCAGGGATCTGAAATATCAGGGCTGCTGTTCTCTCCATCCCTGTTGGTGCTGGGAATGGGAGCTGGGCACCCATGAGAGACCCAGGCAGGGCATGAGCACCTCCCAACCCTCCTGGAGACTCCCTGCCTCGGGTTCATGTGGGCTCTCACTCTTTTGCTCCTGACCAAAGCTGCTTCTACTATTAAGGGTTGTTCTGTGGTCCATTCTGGAGTTGCCCCCCCCACCCTGCCCACCTCGTGGCGATGTGGCTGGTGCCACCATTCCTGTAGCTGCCTCCTGCCTTGCTTCCTTTTGAGGCTTAGAGTACACGGACTCCTTTTCCTTTGGGGGCCCACCACCAACTTCCTGTTTTCTGTCTCTCAGCTCTGCCTCAGTGTCCCTTAAACACAGATTCCAGTGTATGATTTTCAAAGTGCATTTAGAAGCCATTCTTTGGTGGAGGTCACACCACCTCTGCACCCTCCATCTGCCCTCTCGCTTTTTCCATACCTTCCCTGTCTGTCTGTCTGTCTTCTCTTCCCACCTCCTAGCAGGGTGGGGACTTGAGCAGGGTGTAGGGGCTGAGCAAGGGGCTGGGGTGCTGTTCTGGTAGAGCTGCCAGAGCCCCTGGGCTGATCCCTTGGATATTTCCTCGAGGACCCCATTCCCAAGGCTCTGCTCCTGAAGGGGATCCCCCTCGGGCCTGTGGGCTCCATGGATACATAGGAGAACTGGTTCCTGCCCACGGTGCTGGTCTGAGGCAGAGCTGGTCATCCCCTGGCTGGCCCTTGTCTGCCCTCTTCAAGCTGCCTTTGCCTTCTTTGCCCCTTAGGCCCTCCTCACTCTTCTGGCTTTGTCGGGGAGTGTGTGGGGTGCCACCGACTGGCTCCTCCTTCTTGCTCCCTGAAGACTGACCTAGTGGGCCCTTTCCTGTCGTCATTGGAAGGCACAGTTCACAAAGCAGTGAAGGGTTCAGGTCTTACAAAGGCTTGTCTGATTTACCTTCTTCCAGTTAAGGACTCAAAAGATAAGTTGGGGCTTGGGAAGCTCATGGTGCCTCTCCTAGGTAGTCCAGGAATGTTGTCCTTCAGCTTCTGTCATCTCAGGGGCTTGCTCTGGGGCCCTCTCCCCTTTTTGCCTCTTCCAACTCCCAGCTGAATGTGAAAGCCCGCTGTCCAGCAAGGCAATGCTGAAAGTGCCCTGAGAGTAGGCATGGGTATGTCCAGGGGTGTCTGTTTGGGATGAGCAGCCCGGATCCTAGGCCTCTGCAGGACCTGACCCCCTGAGGGTGGGGGTTCCCTGACCCACCCTCGACCAGCCCCCATCTTCATCTCTGCTTCTCCTCCCTTGCCCGGCCCTCCATTCCTCTGTGTCCCAATGAACATCAAAGCCATTTAAAGTGGGCAGCACAGGGCCTGGTACAGTGTAGGCCCGCAATAAACATTTGCTGAACAGATGAAAGAACTAAGCTAAATGCAAGCACTGTCTTTTGTGATTTGAAATCTAGGGAGGTGGCTTAAGATAAATACCACCGAAGGACAGACGCATGATTCAGATTTACTGGTTGCCGAACCCCATGATTAGGCTCAGGTGAGCCCGAGTCGTGTCATTTGCTCTGCTGGCTCCCACGGGCAGCTGGGCATCCTCAGCATTTCTCCTCTGTCAGGGAAAGGGTCTCTTGTTCCATGGCCCTGGGTTGCACCAGGACACTGTGTTTGTTTTCTTTTTTGGATGTGGGATGGGGAAGGGTGGGACCCACAGTAGCAAACTTTACATCCCATCTATTCCACAGGTCCACTGGAAAATGAGCCTCTTTCACTCAGTAGTTCTTGCAAAACTCCAGCCTCTGACTGGCTTCATGTGGGTCCCCTGCTTTCCTGAGTGAATCACTGGGGTCAGGGAGATGTAAGGCTGCCATTGGCTAGGCCTGAGTCATCTCTCTCCTAGGAGCCAGGGCATGGGGTCACCCCACCTAGCAAACAGGTGCTGAGAGTGAGGGAGGGTGGTTCTTCAGAGGAGAATCAGGTACTGTTACCAGGGTTCCAGATGCCAGATGACCTAAAACACATGTCCCCTGTGACATGGCCCTTCCCAACTTCAGCAGCTTGCTTAATTCCCTGCCATCAGCTTGGAGTCAGAGGACCCTGGATTTCAACTCTCAGCTAGCTCCATCTGGGCTCTGTAGTCTTGGACCAGCCCCTTCTGTGAACGTCAGCCCTTCCCGTGTGAGATGATGAGGGTGACACACAGCATCACCTTGAAGCACTGAGCTCAGGCCTACAGCATGGTGGGTTCTCACTATGTGTGCACTCAGCCAGGCCCTTTGTGGGAAATAAGAGTGCCAGATACCAGGGGCGCCTGGGTGGCTCAGTTGTTTGGCATCCAACTCTTGACTTCAGCTCAGGTCATGATCTCGGGGTTGTGAGATCGAGCCCTGTGTCGGATGCTGCGTTCAGTGGGGAGTCTGCTGGAGATTCTCCCTCTGCCCCTTCCCCGACTCTCTCTCTCTCTCTCAAATAAATAATTTTTTTTAAAAAAAGAATGCCAGATATTGCACTAGAAAACATCAGGTCATATTATTTCACCTCTACAGCCATTCTGTTAGATGGACAATAGTATAATCTCCATTTTCCAGCAATAAAACTAAGGTTCTGTTGCAGCCAGCAAGTGGTGGTTATCTGTCTGGCCCCAGCCCCAGTCTCTGTTCACTGTAACCCGGAGCCTCTATTGTTAAACCCCTTCTGGTGACAGACACTGGGTTTCTGTGCAGTAATCCCCTCTCATAGAAATGCACACTTGCTCATCTGTTAGGCAATACCTGTATTTATGTCTTGTGTATCACAAATAGCACATGTATTCTGAAGTCACCCATCCTTGAGTCCTCACAGTGCTACCTGATCAGTCCGGCCTCACTGAGCCATCCCTCTGCCCTGCCTTCGCATTTCCGCTTCCCTCTGCACTCCTTTCTGCTCCCATTCATACTTCCTTTCTCCCTCTGTGCTGCCCCTCCTGCCCTCAGACCTGAGTGGGCCCAGGCAGGGGGCTGGGCAGGGGATGCTGTGGCCACATGCAGTTGGCCCTCCATGTGGCTGGCGGGGGCTGTGGTGCCTACCCAGGCTGCTGGGCAGCTCTTGTTCCGCAGCTTGCTGTGGCTAGAATCCAGCGCTCACCTCTCATTTCATGATGAACTGCTAGGGATACTGCCTCGTAGAGGAATGTTCCAAGGCCTGACACTGGGGTGGGGCTGCCTCCTCCCCAGGACCATTCCTGGCATAATATCCTTGGCCACCTGGGGGGCCACACCTCTGAGCCTTGCCCCTGGTCTCTGGGTTCCCTTGGTTTCACCTGCAGGCCTGTCCCTCTCTTCACCTGATGGACATCACAGGAGAGCAAACACCCCCTTCTGCTCACTTCCCCACTGACAGCCCTGATGCCCTGTAGCCCCAAGACACTCTGCCGCCTAAGCTCTTCTCGGGCAACGGAAGCTGCCCTGTGTGCCACAGATTTGAAGCTCAGGAACTTGAAATGATTGGCTCTTCTGTACTGCGGCTTTTTCTGGGTGGAGGGTCCAGGACCTCTGGCTTTTTGGAACGTCGATCCCAGACCATCCACCTGTTGTACGCTTCCAGTTTTGGGTCTAGCCCTGGTTATAGACAGAACATTGGTCTTCTCAGAGCCCCACCGTGGTCTTTGAGGCCCACATGTGCACCCAACTCCATTTGTCTTCCACACTCCACAGGTGGATTGGAATCCTGCATGTGGTCTGAAGTCCATGGTGGCTCTGAGCACCACAGGGACACTGAGTTCCACTGTGGCTCCCAGTTTTACATCTGTCTGACCCGCACATCAGGTTTTACTGGAAAAGGTTCATGGAGACATAGCTTTGGAAATACAAAGTGAAGGGGTATCTGTCCTGCACACTTCTTACCCCTCTGATGTGCTTTGTGCCTTGGCCTCACACCTGTCAGGTCTCAGCTCCTTCGGTAGATCACTAATTAGTGTCTTGCAGAAGACACACTCTCCTACGATGGGGGTAGAAACCCTGCTCTGGTGACCTTTTGTGGGCCCTGTTCGGCTAACACGTTTGGCAGGGATCTGGATACAACCCTGTGTGACTGCAGGTGTTTCAAGGCCAGCTGGGCTTCTTCTGGGACTTGGGCTGACACTTGTTGTGTGACGGCCGGTGCAGGGGCACTGGGGCCAGGATATGCTTTGTCCTCGCAGGTCCCACGAAGCTCGGTCACATGCTTCAGGAGCCCTGAACTCTGCTGGGAGAGCAGGAGGGGCTCACAGATGAGGGGATGTAGGGACATCTGGAGTGTGTTGAGGTCAGAGCTGTGAGTGGATATGGGCAGTGAGAAGGCAAAAGGCTGGAGATGCCATGACCAGAGAGTGCGCTTCGAAGCTTACAAGTTGTATCTAGTTTTGTGCTGCTGTTGAGCATTCTCTCTCTGAATGGGGCTCCCAGACTGTAAACGCCCCCAGGCCCAGACCTGCCCTGCATGAGTGCAGTGGCAGGAGGCCCGAGACAGAGGCCAGGACCAGAGCTTGGGCTTCTTCTCGTCTCTTGGCACCAATGGGCCAACAAGCAGTCAGGCCTGGGAGAGACATGTCAAATTATTTTTGTTTGATGATATTTTTTTTCAGTGTAAGCTGTATTCCTGGCTTTGTGCTAAGTACTAGGAGTCAAAGAGGGCAGTTAGGAAATGAGGTGAGAGGTCCTGAGTGAGACCGTGAAATGACTGGACCCTGAGGTGGCTGGGGGGATAGAGGATGAGGACCTTGGTTAATGCTAGGAGCCCTCCAGGTGAAAAGAAGGAGGAGCTGATGGTGGCTCCCAGGTCCCTGGTGTGGGGAGGACTAGGGGAAGGGAGAGCATGTTTGGCGGCCCTTGTAGAGGTCTGGAGCTCAGAGGAGATTAGCTGGGCCTCACATGCAGCATTTTTGCACCCATCAGCCATAGCCAAGGGTGGGAGTAGACCACACGGCCCAGGAGAAAGTGGGAACCAAAAGGAGAACCCACAAAACCCATCTGGGAAGGAAGGGGTGGAGGAAGGTCAGCAAGGGGTCCTGCTACTGCCTTGGTAACTGCAGGTGTGTGTGTGTGTGTGTGTGTATGGGGTGTGTGTGTGTATGGGGGGGGATCAGAGGCTGAAGAGTCACGAGGCAGCGAGACAGTACCACATTCAGACGTTGGTGGAAGAGACGTCCGGGGCCATGGAGCCTTGCTGAGCCATCTGGAGGAGGCTGCCGACAGCATTCAGGGGTGCCTGGTGAGGTACCGTTTGTTAGAGGGTGGGTAGCCCAGAAGCCCTCTGGAGGCTGGCGGGTGCTGTGATGTGGCCATGCCATGACTGGGGCCTGGCTGGGGAGGTGGTCAGACAGCTGACAGCGGCGATGGACAGTGACGGGTGTGCAGAAAGGCGTGGAAACTTGGCCATGGATGCTGCTGGGATTCCTGCCCAGGGGACGATGTGAGCAGTTCCCTTTTCCCCAAAAGGAAGGGGAGGGGCAGGCACCTGGGCCATGGGGACCTCTCCACACCCTGCTGTGTCCTGGGGCCTTGAGAGTGCACAGACTTCCTTAGGCTCTTCTTCTAGGCCTCCTGCGTGTCCAGCATGCCTGAGCACCCTTAGGACTGGCTCTCTCTCCCCACTCCCAGCCCAGTGGAACTGGCACTTAAGTGCCTCACTCACGGCACCTCCTGGCATCAGCCATATTCTCTGGCAGGTGCTCATCTCCTTGCACCCAGCTCCTCTCCTCAGGAGCTGCTAGAGCCAGCTCACCCCTCTGCCAGGCAGGAAGGCTCCAGCACTGGCCAGAAAGGCCTCCTGGAACCCAGACCCTGCTCTGGGCTCAGGCCAAGCCTCTCTATTGCACTACCCAGCACCCACCCTGTTCTCTCTGCCTTCACAGCTTGGCTGTGGTCCTGCCAACTTTTCAATATGCTTCTGTCACACCCGAGGCTCCAGGCACACCCACATGGTTCCACTGGAACTTGGCCCTTGGGGCAGGGCTAGGCAGGATTCCCTCCTGAGATGCAGGGCCTTAGGCTAAGGTCACTGTGTGAGGGCCGCAGTGGGGCTATCTGGGCACCATTCCCTCAGCATCTTACCCAGCATTGCCCCCGCCTCCCTCTCCCTAGCAATCACCACCACCTGGGCACCCACCAGGCCCCTGCAACATTCCCTTGGGTATCCTCCCCCTCTCCCTTCACTGCTGCCCTACTTTGCCCCAAAGCCCAGGTGGTGCCAGGGAGGACAGGTGTGGTGGGAGCAGGGAGGGTTTCTTCTGGTTGGTGCCTTTTCCCTGAGCCCACCCCAGGTGTCCTTAGGAGCTCCTCTCCATTGGGGGTTGGGTCGGGGGGAGGCCTGGTCTAGTCTCTTCAAGAGGCTCTGCTGTGGGTCTGAGTGATTGGGAGGAGGCATCAGGGACAGAGGCTGAGGAGAGAAGCCAGGGGAAGGTGAGGGAAGTTGGGAAATTGGAACCGAGGTTGAGTGGGAGAGACAGACCGAGCTGGATCTCCAGGGAGAGGCTGACCTTGCGCAGGTGGGAGAAGAAAAGACAAAACCTACACTTAGGGGAGGAAGGATGCTGAAGGTGCCCTGTGCTGTATGGGACTGGCACCAGTTAGGATAGCACAGAGGGGGATGGGGGAACCCAGAGGAGGGTCCTTAGCCCAGCTTAGGCAGGGGCAGGGAGAGGGAGGTGGGATGGCAGCTGGAGAGAGGTCGAGTGGACCGCAGAGAGTGTAAGGGGACGTGAAGTGTCACCAAGTGCCAAGTGTCTGCTGAGCACTTGCCTCATAGTGTTCCAAGTAAAGCCAGTGGATGGGCACCACTCTGATCTGCCCATCACAAACGAGAAACTAGGTCACACAAGCAGACCAGGAGTCTACCCAGATCTACCCAAGTCTGGCCTGCAATTCCCTCTCCCCAGCGGCTCCAGGTTGGCTCCCTTCCATCGCACCTGAGCTCCTCCCCCAGTGGGTGTCTGGCCAGGGAGAGCTGTACCTGGCTGCCACACTGTAGTTGTGACTGTGGGCCATGTGCCTGCCGCGTGGGCCTGGGCTGCTAACACTCTCTCTCATTGCTCTCTCCTGCCCATCTGCATGTGGCTGTTCTGTCTAGCTGCGCGGTGGTCCCGAGCGCCGGCTGTGTAAGTGAGCATGCCCATCCCATGCCTCTCACGGCCACCCTGCTCTCTGCTCTGCTTGGCTTCGTGGGGCTTCTGTCCCACTGACAGCCCCCTGAGGCTTCCCCTGGGCACAACTGGGGATAAGAACGGAAAGGAGTGGGGGTGGGATGAGGGAGTGGGTCTTCTCTGGAGGTCCTCCCAGGTCGGCCTCCCGCTGTGGCCGGGCTGGAGAGGGGCTGCAGGTCTGGGGTCCTGTCAGGTGATGCTGGGTAGTGAGGCACCATCTGTGCGTGTGTGTGTGTGTGCGTGCGCGCGCGCGCACGTGCTGCTGCCTCTGTCACGAGCAGTCCCCTGTCCTTCCTGCCGCTCCGCTGCATGTCTGTGGCACGTGTGGGCGCTCCTGCGGCTGTAGCGCGCTGTCCTGCGCAGGGGGGCCGGGTGTCATGGGCGTGCGCTGCCTCACACCTGTCCTGCGCATGCAGCTGCTCTGCGTGGGCATGAATGCGGCCTGGTGTCCGTCTCTGACTCATGGGCTTGGTCAGTCTGTGCAGCCACCAGCCTTTACCACCACTCAGCCATCCCTGAAGCCCGCCCAGGTTTCTCTGGGTTTCCTCAGGAGAGCAGAGCTGTGTGTGGGAGTGGTGAGGGGCAGTGCCAGAGTCTTACCCTCCAGGGCATGGGTGGATGGGGCAGTGCCCAGAGCCAGTGTCGGAGGCTGTCAGGGATGGGGCAGTCTTCCCTTTGCCGAGAAAGGCTGCGTTTCCTCTGGTGGGCTGCTCTTGGAGGCCCCATGGGGCGAAGGGGGCCACTGGTTTTACCTTCTCCCCCAGCAGGGCCCTGGCTCTGACCCTGGGGGCCAAACAAAATGGCCGCCGTAATCCTCGGAGCCCACCCGTCTTTCTTCCGGTGGCCCTAAGGCTACCCAGCCCCCAGGCTCCGCCCCCAGCGTCCTCCCGGCCATCGGCCGCGCTCCCCTCCGCCTGTCCCTGCGTCTCCTGGCGCCCACCCACCCTCCAGCCCCAGTACCCAACCCCAGGCTCCGCCCCCAGCGTCCTGCTGGCCACCGCCCCGCTCCCCTCCGCCTGTCCCCGTGTCTCCTGGCGCCCACCCACCCTCCAGCCCCAGTACCCAACCCCAGGCTCCGCCCCCAGCGTCCTGCTGGCCACCGGCCCCGCTCCCCTCCGCCTGTCCCCGCGTCTCCTGGCGCCCCTCACCTGGCCTTGACCCCCTCTCCCTCCGCAGGCTCTTCAGCAGCCTCGGTGAGCTGAGCTCCATCTCAGCGCAGCGCAGCCCCGGGGGCCCGGGCGGCGGGGCCTCCTACCCGGTGCGGCCCGGCGGCCGCTACCCCGTGGCGCGGCGCGCCCCGAGCCCAGTGAAGCCCGCGTCGCTGGAGCGGGTGGAGGGGCTGGGGGCGGGCGCGGGGGGCGCGGGGCGGCCCTTCGGCCTCACGCCTCCCACCATCCTCAAGTCGTCCAGCCTCTCCATCCCGCACGAGCCGAAGGAGGTGCGCTTTGTGGTGCGCAGCGTGAGCGCACGCAGCCGCTCGCCCTCGCCGTCGCCGCTGCCCTCGCCAGCGCCTGGCCCCGGCCCCGGCCCCGGCCCCGGCCCCGGGGCCCCTGGCCCGCGCCGGCCCTTCCAACAAAAGCCGCTGCAGCTCTGGAGCAAGTTCGACGTGGGCGACTGGCTGGAGAGCATCCACTTGGGCGAGCACCGCGACCGCTTCGAGGACCACGAAATCGAGGGCGCGCACCTGCCGGCGCTCACCAAGGACGACTTCGTGGAGCTGGGCGTCACGCGCGTGGGCCACCGCATGAACATCGAGCGCGCGCTCAGGCAGCTGGACGGCAGCTGACGCCCCCTTCCCACGCCCCAGCCGCGCCCTGCCGGCAGGGCCCCCCACCCCCACCCCCGGGCCGCGGGCTCGGCCCGCCCCCCACAACGGCGCCCGGGCCAGGAATGTTGCATGAATCGTCCTGTTTGCTGTTGCTCGGAGACTTGCCCTGTACATTGCTTAGTGCCCTCCCCGGCCGGCGAGTCCCACCCAGCACACGGTCAGGAAGGGCGAGGGCCAGGGAGGCTGGAGCGGGAGAGAGTTGGGGGTGGGGTGCTCCGGCCTGACCATCTCCCGCACAGCTCCTGGTGGCTACTCTCCCAGAGGGGGGGAACTAGTCCAGCATGCGAGGTCAGGACACACCTTGGTGACTCGGGGGGAGGGGGGAGACTTGGGGTTCTCGGTTGGGGGCCTAGGAGCCCCCCTGTTTTGCATATTTTAATCCACTCTATATTTGGAACGAGAAAAGGAACAAATATCTCTGTCCTTAATAGCTTCCCTTCCACTCCCCTACAGCCCCCCACTGGTTCCGCTGCTGCTGCCCAGTCTTCCATCTCTGGCCCCTCACTGCCACTGCCACCCCACATGGGGCGGGGGACGCTCCAGCTGGTCTGGGGTTGGCCAGGGTCCTAGTAGCCCGCCCGGGGGCCCCGGCTCGGCCCTCTCCCCTCGCTGAGCTGTAGTGTGCCCCACCGACCCTTCAGGTGCTGCGTGGAGGAGGGGCGGCAGGCAGCGAGTCCTGCTGGGCACTAGCAAGGTCAGGTGGCCTGGGAGACCATTGCCCTGGGGAGGGGCAGAGCCCTGGCGTCCGCCCCCCAGCCAAGTCCCTCACAGGGCCCCTTCCCAGGAGGGGTCTAGCCTCCTCCCCACACTGTTGGGCAACCACAGCAGAGAAGCCTCCCTGCCTCAGACCCCAAAGTCTCCTGTTCCTGCCCTGTGTGTGCGCACATGTGCGAGTGTGTGAAACTCTGGGTGCGGCTGAGTGCATCGGAACCCTGTGTGTGCCCGACTGGAGCGTGGTCCCGAGGGTCCACTCTGGAATAGCGTGGGGGTTTCAGCAGTGTGCACAGGGTGCATGTATGGGTATGTGCCTATGAAAGCACCCCATCTCCACTTCCAAAGAAAGTCAGAGGCACCCTAGGACCTGCTGTTTGCCCAGCCTGTCCTTCCAGAGCCTCCTCTCGCCTGAGCAGGCATCCTTGGTGAAGCTCTGCTGCTTGGACAGGCTCCCAAGGGCCCTTGGAGGCAGTGCCCTCTCCCCCCCAACCGTGGGCTTCTGGGGGGATCATAGAGGACCCCTAGAGTCAGGCCACTGCAAGCCCTGGGGAGAGGCAAATACCCCAGAGGACACCCCAGCCCCCCTTACTGTGACTCCTCACACTCAGCAATGACCTGTGGGGTGGGGGGGCCCTGGGACGTTTTTAAACCTAGGGTTTGGAGTCTGGACTAAGCTCCATCCACGTCACTCACAAGTTTCTGTTTATATTTCTAGCTTTTTTTAATAAAATAAAAAAAAACACAGAAAACTGAAGTTTTCACAGCCCAGGGGCCTGGCACGCCGGTCTGTGCCCGCCTGCCCCGCCCTGGCCCACCGGCCCCATTCCCTGGGCAGAGTCACACGCAGTAACCCCTTCACCAACAGACCAGGTCACACACAGCAGCAGTCACTGTAACAGACTGCCACGTACACACTCGGTCTCACACTCACCTGTGGGTTTTTGGTTCCGTTCAATTTGGGTTTTTAACTTTACAGGGTCAGTTCTGCTTCACCCCTCCTTTTGTATGGAGTTCCATCCAGGGGATTTCACCCCTGCTCCAGTCCTGAGGCCTCCTGACCCTGATGTTGTGATACACCCCACAGAGATCTATGTTTCTTATATTATTATTATTGATAATAATTATTATAATATTATTATGTAATAAATTTATAAGAAATGAAACTTTCTCAGTTGCCTGTTTGAAGAATTCTTAGGAGCACAAACTGCTGTCCCTTGGACAAACCTCCTCAGCCTTGCCACGAGTATTCAACCGCGTGAACTGGTGACTCTCAGATCCTTGTCTCTGACCCAGGTCCACATGCCAGGCCTCCTGCATCTCTTCCGGACTGCTGCTGGACCTCAGCCTGCGCTTCCTGAGCTGGAAGCTTTTCTGTCTGCTCATCAGCTCACTGAGGAGCTGTCCTGGCCTAGAAGTCCGGTTGCCCTCTGTGGCCCCTGCCGCCCCCCTCCTCCCCTCCGTGTGCCTCTCTTTCTGAATTCTGTCGCTCCTCTTTGAACCCTCTCTGTCCCAGCTGTCTTGCCCCCGTGGCTACTGCCCTTGTTCAGGCTTTCCTTCTCCCCTCTGAGCTGACAGTCATGTGAGCAGCCAGCTACTGCCAGCCAATGCTCTGGCACGTCTGGTGTGGCCCCTGGTGGGGGGTGGTCCGCCCACAGGAAGGGCAGAGGCGCCTCAATGGGTGGAAGGAGGATTCACAGTGTGGTGAGTGGGTGGACATTTTCCCGCAGAGTGGGCCCAGGAGGCACAGCGGGAGCTGAGAGAGGGATGGGGTGGCGGTGATCCGCCGGCAGGCATGTCAGGCACCAGTCACAGGGCGAGGTCTTGGGAGGGCCTGCAGAGCCTGGCTGCACTGGGTCAAGGTGGGGATCAGATAGGACATGGTGATAAATGTAGACCTTCACTAGGGTTATTGTTGGGTCAGGGGTGGGGCCAGTGGGAGACGCCACCAGGGAAGTGAAGATCCCAGAGGGAGCAAAGTGGGTGGAAGAGGGATGGACTCCAGTGTCTTCACTGAGAAGAGGTGGGGGCAGGCAGAGGTGGTCTGAGGGAGCAAGTGCGGGTCTGGGTGGCCTGGTAGGGAACGGTGAAAGCCCTGGGAGGCTCGGATCTGGAAAGCCCCACAATTTCAAATTTCCAGCTTTTTCAAATTTTTCATTTTCACTTTCAACTGTGTTCATCAAACAGAAGAGGCCATGAAGGAAGTCAGGACATAGTGACCTGGCAGGGGGGGTGTTCTAAGTGTAGGGCTGCAGGCGGGACCCTGACTTGCTCTGGGCCTGAGCCTGTGCTGGCGGTGGGGGACAGGTATCCTCTGAGTTGCACGTGGAGCCCTGGGTCGCTCTGGGCCTGGGTCAGAGCTCGGGGTAAGTACAGCTTTTCAACAGAAGAAAGGAAGAGCAAGGGCAGAGGCAGCAAGCCTTCCATGGAAATGGCAACACCCACTCTGGCTCGCAAGAGATTTGGGGGAGAAGATGAATGTCTCCCCATGCCTCAGAAGACGAGTCAGAACCTTCACCACCTGTGAGAGAAGATGTGGCAGAGGCAATCGTAGGTTCAGGGCTGGGGGAGCTGAAGCCCCAAGCACTTCAGGGCAAAGACATTCTCACTTAGGGCTGAGGTCTCCTCATGGCCTAAGGATGTCCTTTTGGGGCCGCCAAGCAACTCACCAACACTCTTTCTAGAGCCTGGAGTAGAGGCTGTAGCCCTAACTCCCCCTCACCCCAGCCACCCCTGCCCGAGATCCTGTGGACAACTTGGGCTGGGTGCATGGTCAAGGTGTCTCCTCTGCAGAGGGCCTTGCTGAAGAGGGGTGAGGGATCAGGATGAGGAAAGATGGTGTGGGAGTAGGACTGGTCAGGTGGGCGGGGTAGGGGTTTGGAAGTGAGGAGCAGGAAGCAGGCTGGGGGTAAGCAGGTGGGTATATGGGAGTGGGAATGGAGGAGGGCAAGGAGGGAGGTGAGGTGGAGGGGAGTGGGGATGGGGAACCCCTCATCCTGCTCCCTGTGCTGGGAGCTTCACCTTGGCCCGAGTCAAGCCCCCCGTAGCCATTGGGGCCGCATCCTCTGGGCCCAGAGTCCTAACTGTCCAGTACTTTCCTACTTCTCTCTCTTGTGCTTTGGAACAGAATGTAGAAGTCACTTTTATTTGAGATGTTTGCTTCTTCCATTAGGTTTAACGACAGAATTAAACCTGGGTGGGCCATGTGCCTATCCTGTGGCCACGGGGGCAGTTACTATGACCGGCAGCCCCTTCTAGAATCAGAAGTGAATGTGACCCTGTGGATTCAGACAGTAGTTGTCTTCTAGAATCTAGGCACTGGGTCTTTAACTGTATTATTGAAAAACTAGGTACTGCTTTTTGTCTTGAAGCTTATAACATTTTCTTTAAAAAAATTTTTTTTAGAGATTTTATTTATTTGAGAGAGGGAGAGAGAGAGAGCACAAGCAGGGGGAGGGGCAGGCAGAAGGAGAAGCAGGCTTCCCGCTGAGCAGAGAGCCCAATGAGGGACTCCATCCCAGGACCCCGAGATCATGACCCAAGCTGAAGGCCGACGCTTAACTGACTGAGCCGCCCAGGCACCCTATTTTCATCATATATTTAAATACTTGCAAAGGTTGTGATTTCTGGAAAATTGTACATATTAACATCAAAATAAATGTTTACATAATTCTGCTAAATGCTTCTCATGGACCTAAATACCGTACCAATTTTATGCCCATTAATATCCTGTAAAAACTCCTGAATAGGTGTTTTCTTAAACAGTCAAAATTTTAATGATCACATCTTGAATTCCTGTTGCCATTTCTTGAACTATAATTCCAAAGCGTTTTTGATTACTTTATCAGGCACAATCTGACACTCAGTTAAAATACGTGAGGCCTCCTAACACTCAGTAGGTGAGTTGCAAACTGTTACTCAGGTTGGTGAAATAGGACTTCCTGAACTTCAGATAAAGGAGGGGAGACCACCTGACATGAAGGCTACAAAAAAAAAGAAAAGAAAAGAAAAGAAAAAGAAAAGGCCTTGGACACTTACATACAGGAGCAGGTGGGGAAGAAAGATGTTCTGTGACACTCAGGTCTGAGAAGTAAAAAACCTACCATTTGGGGAAAGTACACAAGGGCCCTGAAACTTCCCTAGGAGACACACATTCTCCTTATACTCGGGTGGAAAACAGGGAGCCTTCCTGACATGCAGGTAGCAGCGATAAAAATCTTGTGACACTCACAAAGGTGATGTTATTGAGGCCCAATTACATTCATCAAGGGGAAATACAACTTGTTGCCTGGCAGGAATGTAAGTAATACATATCAAAACTCAAGGGAGTTGAATCATCCTGCCTTGTCACTCCCTGCTAAACAAAGATAAGAAGTCCTGGCCCAGTGTCAGAAGTTGGAGGAGGGACAGGAAAGTATTCCCCAAACAGAAGGCATTTTGAGACTGGAAAACCAAGCAGGTCACTCCATACCGTTCGCACAGAGTTTTATTCAGGGTAACATACTGACAGGTGGATCGGGCAGAGGACAATCCACAGCAGCTGCAGAGTTATTCTCCGCAAAATCCAGACCTTAGTCCACAGATTTTATAGAGAGAGGGGACACGCAGAAGGACATTGTAGGGAGATCAAAGGGTTCACATGCACCTCAGAGGACTTGCATGCACCTAATTGACAGCTAACCTGTAATTAGATCTTGTGCCACCCCCTGTGCCTCAGCAAGGGGAAAGACTAGGTTATCTCTAACAGATTCTTGGGAGGCGAAAACAAGCCTCCCCCCATCCTGGCCTTGGCAGGCATTTCTGAGGTATATGTCAATCTCCAAGGCACCTGGAACACACAGCCCCAAGAGAGGTCACTGTGCAAACATGACCAGAGATGGAGTCAGTATTGTCAGCATTCCTACACCCCATACTAGGAGAGGCAAGACCTTCTGACCTGCAAGAAGAGTAGACTTGGGGACACTCATGGAGAGGAAATGAGAGGTCTGACAATTAAGTAGAAGAGAGGGAGACACCAGACCTGCAGGTAGGGATGATATGACCTTGGCACATTCAAATAGGGGAGCGGAGATCCCTTGGTCACTAAGAGAGAAGAGATGGAAACTCCAGATCTAGCAGAAGAGATGAGAGACAAGATCTCCTGACACTCAGGTAGGGCATAGAAGACCTCCTTACACTCGAATGGGAGACAGGAGATTTCATGACCCTCAGGTAGGGGAGATGAGACCTCAAGACCCTCAGGAAGGAGACAGAAACCTTCAGACAATCAGGGAGCTGAGATGAGAATGTCAGACATCTACCGAGTAAAGGAGACCTTGTGATATTCAGGTAGAGAAGATAAAAGCTCATGACTTTTAGGTAGGGAGGGAGACTGTACTCAAGTAGGGAACATGAGACTTCCTGGCACTTCAGTATGGCCGAGGAAACCTCAGTGCACTCATATAGGTGAGATGCACCTCCTGACCTTCAGGTAGGGGATAGAAAAGACCTCTGGGTTCTCAGGTAGAGAAGATGCCACAAAGTGACACTCGGGTGGTAGAGATGAGGCCTTTGGCCTTGAGATGGAAGAAAAGAGACATCCTCAGATTCAGGAAAAGGAGATGATGGCTCCTGATACTCAGGTAAAGATATATAAGACCTACTGGATATTCAGTTGAAGGGCATGTGACCTCCTGAAAGTTATGTGAGCTGAGAAAGTGTGACATTCAGTTAGAGAAGATAGTAGAAGAATAAAGCTCATTTGACAATCTGAAAACTCTTAACACTCAGGAAGAAGCTATGAGGTGTCCTGACACACAGGTAGGCGAGGGACAACCTCTTGATGCTCAGATGGTCTAGTGGAGAACTTACACTCAGCGAGAGGAGGGGACACCGCCCTTCATGCAGGTGGAGGTGTGACCGCCTCACACTCCTACAGGAAGGTGAAACTTCTTAACATGCAGGTATGTGAGGTGAGCATTTGTCATCCTCCCGTAGGTGAGATGCTATCTCCTGACAATCAGAAGAAATGAAACCTCAGGATATTCAGGTGATTGTGGTGAGAATTCCTGACCCTCAAATATAGGAGACACACCTTGCAGCATGTAGGTCCCAGAGAGGAGACCTGGAGACACTCAGGTAGGAAACACCAGACCTTGTGATACTCAGCAGTGAATAGAAAGGTGGGCTTTGTAGTCCTAAATTAGAGAAATTCAGAGTGACTCTTTGAAAAGTATGCTGATAGTATGTACTTGGAAGAGGGAAAGACAATTTGCTCTACACAGTGTTAAGGATCGATTAATCTTGTGAGCCTGACACCCTGTGACCATTGACATGCTGCGTCATCTTGACACAGAGGGACAGAGTTGCCCCTCAGCCCATGATTTGGAACAGGAACTGTGGTTGCAGCTTGCATGAGGGGCAGACCCTGAAACTGCACAAAACTGGATCCTCAGATGATACGGAACCTTCGAAGGGTAACTGGGAATGAAGATCCTGGCCTTGGGACAGAGGGAGGGGGCTGCATATGAGCCCCCATCACCCGAGGGGTGTGGGGGACCCTGTACAGAAAGCTGGGATCTTGTGTCAGCCTGAACCTGTTAAGCTAAAGGGCTCCTGCCTGGCCTGGCTATTGGGGTGGGGGAGGGGGGGAGGTAGCCATGCTGATTGGTCAGGAGGCCACAGAGCTTTGTGAGGTCACTGGGCTTCCAGGTCAGGCTGGGGCAGGAGTATGGTAGAGATGCTGCCAACTGCCGTTCTGCTGGTCTTGGCAGTGTCTGTGGTTGCCAAAGATAACGCCACGTGTGAGTAAGTGTCAGGGACACCTCCAGGGGATGGAAAGAGTGTCTTCTGAATAGCAGGCCCCACCCAGACTCCCTCTGTCCAGGGCTAGGGAGGAGGCCAAACTTGGGCCTTAGTAGTCCCCTGGGTCTCACAGGTGTGACCCACACCCCCAACTCAGACCATCCCTGCTCCCAGCTTCATCAGCCCAGAGCCCCCAGGGCTGACCCCTGGGCTCCTATGCCTCCCATAACACAGACACTGGGGCCCTTTCCTCACCTAGAGACTGACCTCACTGCCTCTTAAACATCAAGTCCCAATTTTTAGAAACCCCTTTCTTCCCACAGATACTGAGGTGGCCCCACCTGTGGCTGACCCCAAAGACCCCAGGGTATTGTCATGGCATTCTTCCAGGGTCCCCCTCCACCTTAGACTCCGACAGCCCCCAAGGTACCCCCAAACTGTTGTGGCCTCTCCCCAGTTCCCAGAATTCCACCCCTGGACCCCCGCTGCTCCCCACCCTGGGACCACTGGACCTGCCTTGGCTACTCTCCCTCCTCCTGCCACCTTCCAACCCCACCCTGCAGCCCCAAGACCCCTGTGGCTGTTCCCTGAGTCTCCCACCCAGAATTGGCTCTAAAGACCTCAAGCCATTACACCTCTCTATCTCCACCTCTAGCCTCCCCCTCTGCCTAGGGATCTCCCATTTTTCTAGGGCCCTTATCATCTGTCCTGCTTCCTATGGCCCCTTCTTTCCTCGCCTTGTGGCTACACCCACAAGACCCCAGAACTCACACTCCTCAAAACCATTTTGTGGAGCCTGCAGCTTCCGGCCTCCCTCCCGCCCTGACAGCGCCTCTCCTCAGCAGCTCCCCTTCGGACCCTCCACACTCCCGGCTGCCCCACTTTGCCCAGCCCCCTAGCCCTGCTTCCCGCATCGTGCAGGTGCGATGACAGGCTGTGCCTCTTCTTGGTTTGAACTGTGCCCCTGGTCTCTCCTCAGTGGCCCCTGTGGGTTACGGTTCAGGCAGAACCCACCGGGGAGTGGCCGTATCATCGGAGGGCAGGATGCAACAATCGGGGCCTGGCCCTGGATGGTCAGCCTCCAGGTCTTCACATCCCACAATAACCGAAGGTACCATGCGTGCGGAGGCACCTTGCTGAACTCCCACTGGCTGCTTACGGCTGCCCACTGCTTCGTCTCCAAAAAGTACGTGTGGGAGCGCGTGGAGGGAGGTCTTCAGAAAGGCTCTTCCCAGAAAGGGACATTCTCCAGGGCTCTCTGTGCACAGTCTCCCCGGGGCTCTGGGCCTTGTGGCAACCAGACCATGAGTGGGTGGGCCCAGGCCCTTGCTGGGGGAGGGCTCTGAGGGTCATGATCACCAGAGGTTTCTGTCAAGCCCGTCCTTTCTGAGGATGACCTGGCTTGCCTCTGTGCCCACAGAAAAGTATATGACTGGAGACTGATTTTTGGAGCAAGGGAAATTGTGTATGGGAACGATAAGCCAGCGAAGCCGCCTCAACAGGAGAGATATGTCGAGAAAATCATCATTCATGAGAAATACATCCCCAGTTTAGAGCACAATGACATCGCTCTCATGAAGATCACCCCTCCCGTTCCCTGTGGGCAATTCATCGGAACGGGCTGCCTGCCCCAATTCAGGGCGGGCCCACCTAGAGTTCCCCAGGCCTGCTGGGTGGCTGGCTGGGGATTCTTGAAAGAGAAAGGTGAGTATGGGGGCGGGGGGGGGGCTCTCATAGGGGTAGGGGCACTGCTGGTCATTCCCTCAGTGGTCTCTGAAGTGCAGGGGCCATATGTAGTACCTAGTGGTGATGTCCACCAGAATGCGGGACACTGTCCCCTTTTAGAGCAGGAGAAACTGGCAGCCGAGTCCCCTGTCCTCGGCCTCACCACCGACGGCTCGTGTGGTCGCTGGACGGAAGGGTGCATGCAGCCACAGGAGAACCTGGGCATTTTTTGAATGGGGTCTGGGCTGTGGCTCTATCTGGGGCCTGGAACCCCAGTTGTTACCTTCTGGAAACGGGGGATTGTCCCCTGAAACGGCACTTGGAGAAGAGCTCTAGATGGGGTTTTGTGGTTGTGGGCCAACTCCTCTCCTCTCTGGACATCCATTTCCCCATCTGTGAGTGGAAGGGCCATGTCACGTGGTCTCTGAGCTCTGACACACCAGAGCCCAGCCCTCCTGACCTCAGTGAACCTCCGCTTCCCACCCTTGGTGGTCACAATGCGAGAATCCACCCTCCCCATCCGAGTGACTTCATTTTCTCTGGAGAGAGGGGACAGGTTTCTTGGCAGGTCAGCAGTGGGCAGCAAGGGTTTGACGAGTAGGTTAGGCCTTTCAGCTTTCCACAGGTGACCACATGGACTTTTTACCCAGTCACATTGGGGATGTGAAGAGAGACTGAAAGCTCTTCTGTCCCTTGATAATGGAAAACCGAGAGCTCCTAATTCAAGGCACTTCAGTCATTTGGGGTTCAAAACTCAGCCTTTTCTGGTGGCAAAACCCTGGTAGTTTCAGTATGCTTCCTGTAACTCTTCTTCCCTCTCTCAAGGCTGGCCCCCTTCTCTGATTGGGTTGCTTCTCCTCCCGGGCACCCCTGTTTTCACTGGCCTCTGCTGACCCTTCCCTCCCTGGCCTGGGGTATCAACCTCTGTCTGGCTATTGATGTCCATGGCTCTGCTGAGGCCTCTAGAGCATTCTTCTTGTCCCGCCCCCAGCCTACCCTGCTCTGCCCACCCACCCAAACATGTGCGCAGTGTCCCAGGGTTCTTGTAGTCCCTGGGGGGGGCTGATCTCAGGGTTCCCATCTACACTCCCACCCCTACCGCCACCTTTGCTATCCTATCGCTCAAAAGGATTATAGGCTCCCAGCTACACCCTGGACGTCACACAAGGCCTCTTTTGTTCTAGAATCCTCCTCAACTTAGTGGGATTTCTATCATCTTCTGGTGAATACACCCCCCACTGTTAAGGCCAAGTCTTAAAGAAATCCCCAGCCTCCAAACTTCTGTGACATTTCTGCAGACCTTCCTTTTTCTACCTCCTCCTTGAGCCCATATGCTTCTGGGGTAGTCCTCCTGTTCTATTGAATTTCAAGTTCTTGTGGACTTTTTAGCATTTAAAGCCAAGGTGTTGGGATTGAGAAAACCCTGTTCTCTTCCAGGTCATCTGGCTCTTCCATAGATCTAAAGGGTCACCATAAGCGACCGGGCTTGTTGTGGTGGTCATTTCCATGTCACCCCTGCCTTGGGGGCAGTGCAAGTACAAAACTAACCCTGCTTGGGTGGTACGCAAAGTTGACCTGAAGGGACTGGAGACGGAGTCCAAGCCACACAAACACACGGTCAGCTGTCTGCCGGCGCCTGCTGTGTGCCTAGCTCCATCCACTCTGCTCCACTTGGTTCTGGCTTCCCACTTGGCCTACACCGCCATGTTCCAAGTGTGATCCACTACCTCTCCACCCAGATGCAGGCGATTTCAGACCCACCCACCAGGCTGTGGGTGCTGCTGTGGTGGGGGGAGGCCACTTGATGAAGAGGGGATAGCTGCCCCTATAGCCAGGTGTGAGGTTGGCTGATGGAATCATAGCCTGGGCTGGGCCTTTCTTAACCCAAAGGTCATGATGGAGGCTCTGGGGCTGTAAAGGATGTTCTGACCTGCCTTCCGGTTATTCCAACCACCCATGCCCCTGACAGGTCTGTGTGTGTGGAGGCCATCCTGCAGCTCCTCCTTCTCTGTAACTTCAAAATGGATGGGAGGCACGTGGGGAGGGACTCATCTGCCCAACTCCAGCAGATCCTGCCCAGAACTGAGCTGAGGGGTTTAACGGGGGATAAAAAGCAAGGAGGGTGACTTAGAGCCGTACTGTGGGGAAATGAAATGTGTGTCCTGGATTTGAGTGCAGAGAGGAAAACCTTGGTCCGAGTCCAAGCCACACCACATCCCTACCAGGATGTTTGGGCAAGTGGTGCCGCAAGCTCTTGATTGGAGGCAAGGTGAGTCCCAGCGCTCAACACAGGGGGTCACTGTGGGGTGTAAATGAGGTGACACATCCTGGCTGTAGCTGTGAATAATCATCTGGCATCAACACACATTCCTGCAGCCGCATCTGCTCATCCTCCATGCACTGCCCCTCCTCTTCACCTGCATATGCCTCCACCACCCCACATCCTTCAGAATTATCTGAGGAGAGGCCAGGGGCATTGACTTTCATGGATTTTAGGTTGAAGTAGAGCATTTCAGGATGATGGGGGTTCCGTGGAGGGAGGAGGCAGGGCTTTCCCAGAACGTGTCTTCTGTGATCGCTGACCACTGAGCCGCCTGGCTGTAGCCTACAGGATCGCACCTACACTGCAGGAGGCCCGTGTGAACCTCATCGACCTCGACTTATGTAACTCCACCCAGTGGTACAACGGGCGCATTCGTTCAACCAATGTGTGTGCAGGGTACCCTGAGGGCAAGATCGACACCTGCCAGGTAACTTCCCTTCGGGTGCCCCTTTCCCTGCCAGCACCTCTTTTGTGGATCCCTGAACTCCACTCCCGCCAGGGCCCTGCTTCAGTGACCCTTTCCCTGGCCCCATCTTGTAGCAGTGAGGATGGGAGGTGATGCCTGCTGCCCCTCCAAAGAGCCAGTCACTGCACAGAGAGCTGTGTCCCACCGTGACACAGAGATCATACCACCCGAACACTACCCTGGAAGAGAATGCTTCTCTCTCCTCACCAGAATACAAAATCTTCAAATCCACTCGTACACACATGCCCATGCATGCATAAAGCCTCACACATGGACACATGGGTCGCTTCTCTTCCCTCCTCACTGCAAGGAGACCCGTGACAATCCATCCCCTTCTCACGTCCACCTGAAGCTGTTGACACCAACTCAAAGTTTACCACCACCACTTGTGTTCATGGCAGCAAGAAGCCATGTGACTGAAGAAACTGTCCTTCCAGAGCCTATGGCCCTTCTGGGCAGGGGAAAAGTGGCTCAGACGGAGAGTGACTTCTGTGTCCTTCTGGGCAGGGGGACAGCGGCGGGCCTCTCATGTGCAGAGACAACGTGGCAAACACCTATGTGGTCGTGGGAGTCACAAGCTGGGGGGTAGGCTGTGCCCGAGCTAAGCGCCCCGGAGTCTACACGGCCACCTGGCCCTATCTGAACTGGATTGCTTCCAAGATCGGTTCTAATGCCTTGCACATGGCTCAACTGCCCACCCCTCCCCATCCGACTTCTCAAGCAATCCCAGCTAAAGACCCCTCTGCCCGCCCTTCTGCTCGCCCTCCTTGGTACTTCCAACGTCCTCCTCGACCTCCTCCCAGCCCCCCTGCATCTCGACCTCGACCTCGACCCAAACCCCCGGCCCCACCCCCACCCCCGCCTCCACCCCCACCCCCACCTGCTCCCCCACCTATCACTAAACCTCCCCAAGTACTTTCTTTTGCCAAGCGACTACAGCAACTCACAGAGATCTTGAAGGGGAAGACGTTTTCTAACGCAAAGGGGTATTACGAGATGGAGACCACAGATCTCCCAGAGCTGACCGCCGCCTCCTGATCCGACCCCACTCCCAACAGACCCAGTGAGCCCTTTACTCCCAAGAAAACAAAGATGAAATAAATAAATATAAATATAAATATAGATATATAAAATATATATATATATCCATGAAGAGATGCTTTCTGGACTTCTTCCTACCTGCCCTCCCCAACTCAATCCAAACCCTCCCCCAGCAAATCTGTCCTTCCTCTGTCACCCTCCAACAAGGTGGAATTGCTAGTATGTCAGTGGCAACTGTGGTTTCCTAAATCTTGATTTTTGAAGTTGGAACAAGGCGATCTGGGGCAACAGGCCAGGTATGGTCTGGATCTCACACTCAGAGTCTCTGCTTATTAAATCAGTGCAGGTGGGCCCTGGAGCACTTCTGTGAGGTGAGCTGACTCAGAAGGAGGGGTATGGGTCTGAGTCCATTGGAAGAATGACTCCAGTCTGAAGTTTTGTAGTGTGGCCATCTGATGCTCAGTCCACATGGCCAACCCCAGGCAGGAGTCTGCCCTCAACCAGAATTGCTTATGCCCATTTGTGAATTCCTGAGAAAGAGACCTCGATGGCCTCAGGTCAACTGCCCACTCTGGTCAGGACCTAGATCAAGCCTAAATGCTGGATTAGCCACTTGGGGATTAAAGATGGCAGGCTCCAGAAAGAAACCCCTGGGCTCCTGGCTGGGCAGTTGCTGCAACAAGCAACAGTCTCATACCTGTTCACCTGTTCACTGTGTGCACATGTTTCGAGTGCAAGATGGCCCTATGTTCTGGTTGCAAAGACAGATGGCAAAGGGTACAGGAGCATGAGGGAAGAACTTTGGGTGAGGAAGACCAAGGACCCTGTCCTTTTCCTGCTGGGGCTGCAACAGGGACTGATGAAGCAGCTATGAGTCTTTATTTTCAGGATTCATCAGTCTGTCTGGGTTCAAACAAACCCCCTGCTTTACCCCTCATCAGCTATGTGGCCTTGGGAATATGGCCAGAGGGTTGTGTGACAATGAAATTAGGACAGATGTGAAGCTTTCAGAGCAGAGCGTGACACGCCATACATGCTTATAGATGTGGGCTCTAATTTAGAGCCAACTGGTGATGAGATGCTGGGTAACCTTATACTTACGCATGGGCACTCGGGTGTACATTGTCTGTGCACTTATGAGCCCTGGAATGCCTCGGCTACCTAAGAGGGCTTGCAAATTGATCTGGGTGGCCCATAGCTCTATAGTGTATTAGCATTTGATAAAATAAAAAAAACAAATTTTATCTGCCTTCACTGAGAGCCAACATTACTAAGATTAGAGTTGGCATGTCCATGATTCCTTTTGTTGGCTTTGGTCTGTCTCTTCTAAAGTCAGTTTCTTAATCTCCCTATTGGGTACATAAGCTTTGTACCCTGGTGTCAGACACCAGGTACCCTCTAAACACTGAACAAAACTCAGTGTCAGTCACAGAGTGAGACAGAAACCAAGCTATGGGCCACATGGTCCAAAGAGCAGAAACAGCCATGGCAGCAACTCAGGACCTGCCCTCACCCTTCCTGGGCAGTCCTGAACCCTGAGCTTACAGGTGGGAATGGTGGGGCAAGATGTGCTCAGGCTAGGGAGTAGGGGTGGGTGTGGAGGATGTGGGACAAATTTGGAGGAGCTACAGTACCAGTAGTTTCTTTCCACTTACAGGTCATCCCTCCTCCTCAGAGCTTCCCAGGATCCAGAACGGATTCTCCTGGCACTCTGTCCTTTCACATGCTCGAATCCTTGTCCTTAGTTTTTCCCTTCTCTCCTCACTGGGCCTGTCATCTGTAGCTGACACTTGGGTCTCTTTCCTGGAGAGACAGGGCTTATGCTCAGGGAACACTGATGGGAGGCCTCTGCAGAATCGAGTGATGGTTTCTTGTGTATCTTCCGAAACTTTCCATGCCCACTAATATATATATGTATAATACCCTTCTTATTTATTCACTGTTCATACTACTATGACTTCATTTAGCAAATTAGAGTTATTTTCGTATCAGCACACAGGGACTCACTTTCTCAAAATTATGTTGTGCAGAAGGGGTACTTACGAGATACAGTGCCACATTTCCTTCCTGGGAGGGGTTATCTGGCCCCCGCTTTAGCTTTCCCTCAATGTACCCATTTCCCCCATATAAGCCAATAGTGGTTTATATCAAATTCACTGATTTTTGCAAAACTAATAGATGCTCTAATTTTCATTTTTAAAATTATGACTGAAGTTGTTGACAAGTGAAGTGAGACTCTCTGATCTGCCTTCACATCCCTGTGGATACTCTAACCCCGAAAATGGCTGACAGGTCCCGGAGCAGATATTGCTGCATGCAGAGACAAGACGAACGGGGAAACCTGGACAGGCTGTACAATGAGCTGGCACCAAGGGGCACCTAGGCAACTGAGGGATGTGCTCACCGTCTCTCTGTGGGATGGTTTGGGCAAATGATAAGTATTCTTCTGAAAAACAGAATTCATAATGGATTTTATTGCTAGGAACAGTAACAAAATGATTTGACGGTGGCTAAACCTGTGCACGTGGTAAAAGCCTGACTCCTGAGCATTCGGGAAGAACAGACCTGCGATGTGTGTAGGCACAAGTTCTAATTGCGAATTTGATCAATATAAGAAGTCTTTTCTTAAGATTTATTTATTTATTTATTTATTTATTTGAGAGAGAGAACGCGAGACACGTTGCAGAGGCAGAGGGAGAAGCAGGCTCCCCACTGGGCAGGGAGCCCGACGAGGGGCTCGATCCCTGGACCCTAAGATCGTGACCTGAGCTGAAGGCAGACGTTTAACCGACCGAGCCACTCAGGCACCCCCAATATAAGAAATCTTATATTTGCAAGGAAAAAACTGATGCCAATGAATATAATTTTAGTACATTTTAAATGGAAGTGGGAAAAGTGGAGGTAGTTCATCTTTATTGTGTAGAAAACTAATCAAGAAACAGAAATTAGCTTAATGGAGTTTTCTGCAGAAACTATATTCTTGGTAAAGAATCGTCAGTGACCTGCTTCTGGTCACTATGGTTGGGCCTGTGTACTTCTCTTGGGTAGGTACTCAGATAGTGGAATGGCTGGGTTACATGGCAGGTGTAAGTTTTGACATATGAATGCACCCAGGAAACCAGCACCACAATCAACATAGTGAACCTGTCCATCCCTCCAAAGGCTTCCTTGGGGCACTCTGTAATCCCTCCAGCCCCTTCCCTCCCTGGCCCTAGCAACTTCTGCTCTGTTTCTCTCATTGTGTATCTGTTTGCATTTTTAAAAAAATTTTAATAAATGCAATCATACAGCAAGTGCTCTTTTTTTTGGTCTAGCTTCTTTCACTCAGCATAGTCATTTTGAGATTCATCCATGTGGCAGTGTGTTCCAGTCCTTGTGGACTGGACAGTCCTTGTGTCTAGTCCTTGTCACCACCCAGTGCTCCACTATGTGACTACCCCACCATTTGTTTCTGTTAACCAGGTGATGGACTTTACAGTTTTAGGTCATTAGAAATAAAGCAGCTATGAGCATTTGTACACAAGTCTTTGTGTGGGCATATGCTTTCATATTTCCTGGTTAAGTACCTACATGCAGGATCATATGGTAGGTGTATGGTGAGCACTTTTAAAACCTGCCAAAACGTGTCTTCAAGGCAGTTTCAACACTCTACATCCCCATCAGCAGTTTCTGAAAGTTCCAGTTCCTCCAGCTCCTTGCCAACACTCGGTGTGCTCTGTCTTTTTGATTTAATTTAATTTTTAAAAAAAATTTAAAAGATTTTATTTATTTATTTGAGAGAGAGAGAGAGCACAAGTGAGTTCAAGCAGGGGGGGGGCAGAGGGACAAGGAGAAGCAGATTCCCCGCTGAGCAAGGGAGCCCGACATGGGGCTTGATCCCAGGACCCCGGGATCATCACCTGAGCCAAAGGCAGTCACTTAACCAACTGAGCCACCCAGGTGCCCCAAATTTTAGCCATTCTTATAGGTGTGTAATAATATGTCATGTGTGGGGTTTTTATCCACAAGTGTAGTCTATAAATATATTTAAGGCATTCTAAATGAATATAGTTAAGATTTATCATGAGGTAATGGGGCAGTAACTTTTGACAGTAGCAAAATGTGGGAGGGCACCTAGGGAGAGGAGGAGGTGGAGAGAAAAAAGCATAAAATTAAATTCATTCAAACAGAATTTGGATTTTTTGAGCATCACAAACATCAATGGAAAACATCTGAAAGACATACCGATAGCAACAGTCATAGAACAATTTCTCCATTAAGCTAGGTCTATCCTATATAAAGATATTCCAAAGTATCCAAACTCCCAGAGCTTCCCTGTCTGCTGAAGTTACTACACCCAAATAGAACACTTTATATTTAAAACAAAATCTTCGGGGTGCATGGCTGGCTCAGTCAGTAGAGTGTGTGACTCTTGATCTTGGGGTCCTGAGTTCAAGCCCCATGTTGCATTGTAGAGATTACTTTTTAAAAAGATACTTAAAAAACCCCAAATTAGCACAAGTCAACAACTTGCCCACAGTCAGTTCATCCTCCACTTTTAGGGTGATGATAGGTTTGCCCTTTACAAGAAGCATCATGTGCCACCTTATTGACCTTTATACGGTTTATTTCCAATGTATGCTTTGATCTTGCCCCACTAATTCTTTCTCCCCAAAGCTCTAGAGAACCCTAGTTTTGATCTGCATGCTCAGCGAGAATTCATTCATGTCCATGATATTTTCATAAAGAAGAGGAGAGACAATGCAGAGCCCAGGAGTGGGACCTACCTGGCCAGCACTTGCATCTCTCCTGGCTGGCTAGAGCTGCCACTGAACTGACCTTTTTAGGCAAATGTGTGCCACTGTGCCAAAAAGATGCTAAATTCCATGCTCAGACAGATTCGGGAGTGTGGTTAGGGTCAGACGATTCTTCAGGCTGTGTATGCCAGGAATATAAAATTGGTTAATTTAATTTTGGATTTTTAAATTTCTGAGATAAGAATCCACACTTCAGTGACT